AAAAATTAACGCCGCCATGTGTCGTGTCGGTAAACGCAATTCCAGGGTAAAAGTTTAGTGGGCCCCCCTAAGATTGCACATGGGTTTCTAGAAGCCAATCACCAACTGGTCAACTGGTACGTTGGACTGATTGTTATTTTATTTTATTTTCGGTAGGTACAGGTGTCTAATTTTTAATCACTTCGGTCTTATTATGGATTGGAAATAATTTTTTTATTTAATAAAAAATATTATGTGTAAAAATTCTATATTTTAATTAAAAATTTAAATTTAATATTTGAGACAGATAAAAGTGGATGAGATACCGAGACAGTCTTTTCCCCTGTCAGTGTGTTGGAATGGCAGATAGATAGTACCTTTCCTTTTATGGCCCACACCTATAAATTTTAATATTTTTTTTGGATTTTAAAAAAAACTTTGTAGTTTGTTAATAATTAAAAAAATTATAGTTTTAAAGGTTTGAATTACATTTTTTTTCAGCCAAAGTTATAATTTTTGTTATAACTTTCGATCAATCCTAAAAAAGTTAGAATGATGGTAATATTTTTAGGATATATTACAAATTATCACAAATTATAAAATAATTAGTTATTACTTGTGTCTGAAGTCACAAAGTAATAAAAAAATTGGTCAACAATAAATATATTTATATTAATACCAAAAATTAAATCATAAATATAAAAAAGATAAAGAAAAAATTTAAACCCCAGTTGTAATAGGGGTAAGCAGTTGTAGTGGTAGTAGATGACAATAATGGTAGTGATAGGAGACGGTGATGGTTGTGGTGAGATAGCGACGATTGTGGTGATAGTGGTAGTCGTTGGTAGCAACGGTGATGACAGTGGTTGGTTTTGAGTGACAATGATGATAGTAGTAGCCATGAGTGACGCCGGTGATTATGGTTGGTAATGGTGATAGTGGGCGACAACGAGTTCTTTTGGACAATAGTGTGATGAGTGGTGGCGAATTACGATGGTGGTGACGACTGGCAGTGGTAATGGTGGGCAATAATTGTGGCGACAATGGTAGTGGTGGTGGTGGGGGTGATGGGGTGGTGGCGACGACGGTGGTGAGGTGGTTTGTGGTAGGGGTAATGGCAGAACAATAGCGATGGTGGTGGGCGGTGGTAAAGGTGATGGTGGTGGTGGGGGTGATGGGGTGGTGGCGACGACGATGGTGAGGTGGTTTATGGTAGGGGTAATGGCAGAACAATAGCGATGGTGGTGGGCGGTGGTAAAGGTGATGGTGGTAGTGACGATGCTGGGACGACTTCAAATACAATTTTTTTTTTAAATACTTATGAGAAATTATAAAATACTTTTAAAAAGTCACTCAATTACACTCTTATGATCATATTCTCTATTAAATTTGAAGTGTTAATATTAGTCGTTGAATTAACTTTAAAATAAAATTTAAAGAGATCTCAACTTCGAAAAGTAAAAATCATTTTTTTTATCTTTTGAGATTTGAATGGTATTGTACTTTATTATATAAATTTTTAAAATTATAAAAAAAATTCACAAAATTTAAAATGATGGTTCGGAACTAGTAAAATTTATGGGTAAATGTCAACAACCACCTTTTTAATCTAATACGAAAACATATTTTTAATTTTTTTGAAACATTGATAAATTCCTATACTTTTCCTATAATTAAAGTATAAAAAAACGATTATATAATCGGATATTGCTTGGATAATGATAATTTCCCACCCAATGGAGAACTATAAAATCTCTTCCATTCCTCATACCCAAACAATCCCCTTATGAACAAAAAAAAAAAAAATAATCCGAAAACCAACCCCACATGAAAACACCCACACCCACACCACCATGTGTTACGTGCACGTAAATGAACCAACGGTTGGAATCAATGTCTATCTATCGGGTCCGTCGACAACACTTTCCAATCATATCAAAAGTTGTGTGAAGTGGACAATTTGAAGGGGTTGTGGATGAGATGAAATTGTGTTTGAATGGTGGATGCGCATTAGATTAATTTTGTCCTATTACCATGATAGAATGTAGGTGGTTGTTGACTATTTTTATTCTTGTGCGTGGGTTTTTTTTTTGGGTTTTGTTGTTGTTGTTGTTGGGGGAGGGGGGATGGGGGGAAGGGTAGGTTGACTGTTTTTGTGTGTATGTATATGTATACATACACGTATGCAATATTTTATCCCAAAAACGTGATAAATTTGTGTAAATTACAAACCTTTAGTGTGTGATCCCAATAATGTACATTCTTATTTATGGTCCGTTTGGTTTGGCGGAAGAATGGGTGGATGGAAAATGAAATATTGGTCCCTAAAATATTGAATATGTTTTTATATGGTTTCTCAAGCAGATAGCGTTTAAATTGTTAACAATTTTTTATTATAAATTTGTCAGATAATACCTAAATATAGACAAAAAAATAATTTTAATAGTTCTCAAACAAAATTTGGGTAACTCTTGATAAAAAAATGTGTAATATGAGTAATTTTTGACCAAAATTTGGATAACTCATTATCAAAACTGTGTAATTTAAATAGTTATTTAACAAAATTTAAGTAGAAATTTGGTCAAGAGTTATTTAAATTATTTTATTGTTCATATTTGAGTATTACATGACAAATTTATGATAAAAAATCGTTATCAATCTGGACGCTGTCTGCTTAAGGGACTATATAGAAACATATTTAATATTTTCAGGGACCAAAATAATGCAGTTGAAATATTGCGGATTAAAATTAGATAAATTTCATACTTTGAAGATCTCCGGTGCAATTAACTAGAAAAGAAAAATGGGTGCAAATTATGTTGCCTGGGCCCATTATTTTTAATCACTCCAAAAATAGGAGGAAGGTGCAAGGAAGAAAGGTCGCTGGTTTAAAAGGTTTTTGGAATTACCGTTTTAGCCTTAAAAGTGGCATATTATAAAACACAAATTAGGAGGTAAAAAAAATATATATGCAGCCCACCTATTTTGTCATTTTTCATGTACAAGTGCACCAAATTAGTGGGTCCACATTAAAGTCATTTGTTTTTTACAAGAGTATTTTTTTATTCATTTATCTTCTCATAAAATATAAAATAATAAAAAATCACCAATAAAAAATTGACCAAATTGAGCAATAAAAAATTGACCAAATTATTAATTTGTTGACTTTTTTATTCATTTTTTTGAACAAATAGACTTTTTTTGCCCTTAACATATACTTCTAAATATTATGTCACATTTCTCAAAAAATATTTCTAAATATCCTATTACATATATTTTTTCTATATAAATATTTTTTGTATACATATATATATTTATATTTTTTTAAAAAATTGTTTGAAATAAAAAATATATTTATATATAAGGGTATAATGACAAATTAAATGCATTTATCTTTCCTTTCCTTCCATTTTTTCTGCAATACCAAAGAATAAAAAATTAATTATTCCAACTTTTCAATCATCGTATCAAACACAAAAGAGGGATAATATTTTTCTTTCCTCCAAGAATAGAAAGTCTATTCATCACGCTTTTCTATCCTTTTAATTTTTCATTCCCCCTAGGATAAACATCTTATATTCTTATTGTCCTACTTGAAGATAATGACAATGATAAATAGTTTTTTATTTTTATAAATAGCCTTGTGAGTATCAAGTGTAAGGCAACAATACCATGAAATACCTTGACGAAAAATGATCTGGATTGTGGATTTTCTGTTGAATAATTTATAATTATTAATTGAAAATAATAAAAAATTATAGACATTACAATTTTGGGGGATAATAACAATGATATCATTTCAAGCCTATGACATATTCATTAGGGCTTTTCGTCTCATTATAACTTGTGTTGTACAAAATTGAACGAAAAGTCCAACAGAAAAATGATAGAAAAAGTTGGTTGAAATTTTTAATTATGGATGCCATCAACGCCGAGACTAGTATGATTTTATGGATAAGAACGGGCTCATTGTAATATCTAAGACTAAAGTATGTCATTGTTATTTATCTAATGGTAACAAACTACAAAATTGTATCTTTACATCATCCATGTGTTGCATCGAGGGTTGTCTTGTCTTCTGAAAGGCCCAACAAGAATTATTAAACAATGGAAGACGAAGACATATGACAATACATGTGTTTGTGTGTGTGTGTGTGTTGTGTCTCTGTTTGTGGGTGTGTGTGGGGTGGGTGCATAGGCATGTGAGTAAGAATCGAAAGACGTGTGACACCCAAAATGATACTATAACAAAAATTACAAATTTGTTATGACTACTTTTTTTGAGGAAAACACGATACGTGATTCATTGATTTAAAGACATTACATCTTTATGGAGGGGAAAAAATGAAAGGAATATCTTTCTCCAACCATAAAGTTGATAAATTACAATTTAAAGCGAACTTAGCCAGACAATTGATTACCCCATTTCCTTCTCTCCGGATACAAGAAACCAAAAAAGATTTAAAGGTAGAGCCATAATCTTGAATTTGCCACACAGTTAGTGTACGAATGTCCTACCACTGCAAGTTTGAAGATAATAAATGTATTCCTCAAGGAAATAGACTCATTGAATGCATTTACAAGTTGTTTAGCTCAGAGCACTCAAACCATTTAACTTGTTAGATATTCTCAGAGTTGCACGATAATTTCTTGAAAGTTACTTCAATAGCCAAAGGTTTCTATTTCAATCTTGACAGAAAGCATATCAAAAAGAACCCATAAAGTTAAAAAACAAAATTGGGAAACAGTACGAATTATAACAGACGGATAGCCTAGTGCACGAGAATCCCGCACTGCAGGATTTGGGGATGATCAAATACACGCAACTTTACCCATTGTGCAGAAGGAATGTTTATGTACAATATGCATTATATTTCCTATTTATAGTCCTTAAACTTGTGCAGCAACTCATTCTGGGCAAAAGATATACACGGTTTGCCTGTGGTTTCATCTAAACAAGAAAGGCGGCATTACCATTCTGAGTTGTTACGAGTTTTAAAATGATCAAAGTTCGCCTGGTGTCAAATAAGCTGTACAACAGCAGCTATTCGCAAAGCCCCATTTTGGAGAAGATCCCCAAGCTCATCAAATATTAAAGCTGTACGCCAACCCCATCCCTTGGGAGCTTTTGGCAGAAGCGTTCCAGTTTGTTTAAAGCTTCCAAAAACCATCACTTCTCTTTTTGACGGACATATCAACTGGTTAACGCAGGAATGAATTCATCAGAGACCAGCAATTATACCATAATAGTTTACGCAATTTCTAAATATAACGTGAGTGGTAAAGAATCTGATGTGTTCACTTTGGCTCACCTGGTAACGAGCAGTAACCTTCTCCCGAGAATCCACGTACATATGAACCTGTAAAGAAGGTGGTCAAATATGCAGCCTGAACTTCGATGGAGTACTAATCGGGAACAAAAAACACCTTTGAGGAAAATATTAGCTGATTCTTATGTCTGTCCAAATTTAAACTCTTATTCCTAATCACGGATAAAGATTATGTGGAACATGATTATAAAGGTAACTGTTATTGAAAAAAACACATGAAGAAACAACCCTTCAGAGCTGATTTAATAGAACACCTCATTTTTAATAACCTAGAAGAAGGCTAACCTTTCTAAGTGGATCAGTTATCTCCGCCTTTCGTCGGTGAAGAAACAATCCTGAAGTTATGCATAAGAACAGAAGTGCAAAATTAAAAGAGAATATAATTTGTATTGACCCAAGTACAGGAAGCACTATGTATGTTTCCATTATTAAGAATGTTTCAATATATAAAGTCTAGGGTTAATTGGAAAACTACCAAGAGTTCGGCGTCCTTGAGGGTCTTCATCATTAAAAGCCTGAACACTAACCTTTATGATTCAACAGACAAAATTAACTACAGTCAAACAAAAGGAGAAAACCTCTTGAAATATCAAGAAGATTATAGAACAAAATAACAGGCAGCTATTATTGAAATACCTTCCACAAGGAACCAGCATAGAATACTTCTGAAGAGTGTTTGACCTGGCCATCACTGAGCCTATACACCTCCTGAAATTCCACTCTATGGAACCAGTACAGGATCATCAGAAAATATATTAAAGGCTTTCTTCTAGCGGCTTAAAGAGAGTAGCAAACATATCACAATTAATACCATGCCAAGTAGCAAAAAACCTGACAAGGACACTAGAATCTTGCATACCAAGCTACAGAATCCAGGTAAAAAGGACTGGGATTCACATATCTGATCCAAGACCTAAGACAGCTAAAATCAAACTAGCCTATTTGACTCTCTCGTGGGGGAAGGACATGAATGCCAAAAGCCATGCTGATGGGGGGAAGTTTGCCTTGCTTCCATTTGAATCAATTTAAAGTCCATTTTGAAAGCTAGCCAAGCATACTGATTTCATTTACATGAGTAGGCTGAGAGGCCAAACACTACATAGTAATTTCCAAAAAAGTGAATGGCGTCTCAAGTTTTACAAGGGCCATCAGTTGCATCTAACGAGTTTCCTACCTGCCACTAGATTGCCATGGAAGCTGATCTGCACATCTTCTAAAACATAAAACCATTGAATATTGAATTTGCCAAGTGCAGAAGACAATGCTATGCAAAATGAAAGGATGACTTACGAAAAACGAAATGGAGGGAAGTGACTTAGAGGTGTTTTCATATCCAATGATATCGAACTGTTTGAGTGCTCCCACTCAATCCCAATGGCATCCTCAGGAGAGTCTGGCATCTGCACAGGAACACTAGTGGTACTTGGCCCAGCAACCGAGGGTCCAACCAGTCTGCTTTGTGTATCTGTCTCGTAACCTCTTTCTGCTTGCTCCCCATGAACATTAGCTATGTTGCTTCCTCCCTGGCTAAGTCCAACCAAAGCCGTCAACCCGTCCCCAGCCAGGTCCCCATTGTGGTCATCTCTGTTCTCTGAATCATTATTACCAGCAGACTGCTGGCAATTTCGATTACCCATACCAAAGGGTACACGAGAAAAGACAAAACGTGTGGGAGGCCAAGCAGCTGCTGGCGCAAATGTAGTTCCACATCCAATACCAGCTAGCCCATTGATAGGCCCCCTAACATACACACGTACAGGCCTAAAGGAACCATTTCCTTCGACTTGAGTGGAATCAGTGACATACACATTTCCCATATTGCTTGATGGATTATTCTGAACATGTTCTTGCATGTAATAACCAGAGGCAGTAACCCCACGAGGATATCCAAACTGCTGCTTACATGCACATGCCATACTCATGAAGCAGCAATTTTTGCATGTGTCAGCACCAATTTGTTGCACCTGTTGGCTTAAAAGCATCTACATAATACCACGAAGAGTTGGAAAAAATAAAGCTTAAATTAAATTAAACTACCTGACAAAATCAAAAGTAATGGCTTCAGTTGGGATGCAAAGATTTGTCCAAACTTCTGGTGCTGGCAAATGTGCATAAAGTTTTCTATCAAATCTACCAGATTCCACAGTGGGAAATACACAGTTTTACTGGTCTCCCAAAAGGCCAGATAATTAGTCAAAAAGACATGCAAAATCTAACCCACAGAAGTTGGTCCTAAACACCTTCCCTGTGTGCCACAAGCAAACCACCAGAAGTATGGGTTCTTCTCATCCTCCCTTGGGCATTCCATATATCACAATTAACAAACAAACACATACAACAAGATTCCAGTTCAAACCTGCAGCCAAAGACCATCATTCATGGCTTTGCAAGGGAACCCCAATTCTTCGAGCTGCTTTCTCATGTTTAACAGTGCCTCAAAGGACATGTTGCAATATAGAACAGAGCCACCTTCAAAAATATTGACAAATGCATCAAATTCTTCTCCACTCATCCCACATTTCCCTTTTGCAAAAGTTTTCACCTCTCGTCGCCTCACAAGCCTACCACCCCAAGAAAAAGGAGGTGTGCCACCTCTTCCCCATTCATTGGCAAAGGGCCCGTTATAAGAATAGTTCATTGAAGTGCAGTGCCTTGGGTCCTCAGCAAGCCAATTATTGTTATTCAATTGGTAGGATGAACCTTCTTCAGATGGCCCTTCTATAGCCATGCTAATGCTTCCCCGCCCACTAACTCCAACACCAGTTGGCATTTCAAGATAAGAACATGAGGATCTAATATCCTCAGTATATGAAAATGAGTTACTCGACAAAGGCCGAGGGATGTTGCAATAGTAACTTGGCTCCAAATTAGACTGTGTGCATGCACCTTGTTTCACATGTCGCTTGGAATCAGCAAGAGTATGGGAATCAACAACACTGTCTGCAAGCTCAACCAAAATATTATGAGCAGCATTACACCCTTCATGTTCATCTTTTAAACTTACATGCCCTAGTTCAGATTCAAGAATTTTATTAGTGCCGTCAATCAAGTTCTTTTCCCTAACTATAGAAGAATCAGAAAGACTATTTGTTCCCATCTCAGAAATGGAACATTCTTCAGGATTTTCAGCCTGGCAACGATCACATTTTGCGAGGAGAGAGTGCAATGCCAGTTCAAACCTTTTGATTAAAAGAAATTCACTAATCAACTTCACCAAAATAGAAGTTGTAAATCCCATGCAGTTAGAATGTGGCTTACCGTTTCTCTTCACTAGGTACCCACAACTCATCTGAGGTCAGCAGTGCATGGAAAGTTTGAGCAGAAAGCTTTGGAAGCACCTAATATTAAATGTAGAAATAAATTCATAAGAACTGATTTTGTATCCTGGAAAAATGAGAATCAGAAATACTTACGCTGAATTACATCCTAAAAAGCATAAACTCAATCAAAGACTTGAAATTTTAAAAAGAAATGTAACTCATTGGAGTTGGAACTGGAAATGTGTCAACAACAATCAAGACATATTACATGCTAGCAACTTGCACCTGAAATAGACAATGAGGTTCATACTGAAGGAGAACAGCAAAATCCAAAGAATATCTCATACAAACAACATCATGAACACCAAAATTGCAAACTATATAGACACTGCCTTCTCTTTGTTCCTCTTTGGGTGGATAACTGAAATAAAGATTCAGTTGACCGTAAACCACACAGGAATGTAACCATTTCGAGACTTTCTCACAAAATTTGTCAGGACTATATGGATATAACTGAATGAAACACATTATTCATCAGTTTGTTGCAAAACCAATAATCAATTAATGCAATGATTCAACCTTCCTGGGGAATAAAAAGGCAAGTTTCTACTTGAATTCTTCAACACATTTTATCATAAAAGAAACTGGATGACATATGTGAGAAACAAGTTTCATAAAAATTCATGAACCTTCTCTTAAATAAGAAAAAACCGGTATAAAGTTAAACATGTCATATGCATTATCATTTGCCACAAAACTTTTCCTCTTTAATGAGTAATGCCTTTCCAATATTTTAAGGAAAAAGAGTCAAAGATTTTCAATTAAAATCATTAAAATAACAATTTACCCCATGCTTGTTATAGACAACCTACACTTGTTGCCAAACAAACAACATAACAAATATGGACAAGCTAAACTTGCTTCTAAACGTACCAACTTATTTATACTCACTGCTTTCTCTCTTCTCTCACAGTACCCTCATCTCTCCTCTTGTAATTCCTCCCTATCTCTATCACTCTCTCTCTCCACCACCAGCTCCTCCACACACACATGCACTCATATACACAGAGGAATCAATAAAATCAGTGAGTGTTCACATTGCTCTAGATTTTCTCTTTGCTGGCAGACCTCCAATCTCAAAGCCAACATCACTCATTTCTATGATGTCCATAAAATTAATACTTTCATACAAAATTTAACCATCTTATAGAGAAATCAAGGCTGAGAGAGAGAGAAATCATATGATCGTGGGGGGACGCTGGGGTGTAGGTGGGGGTTGTTATGGATTCAGGGGTTGTGTGGGGGTTGATTAGGGTTTGGGGCTTAAAGATCTAGGTTTGGGGGCTATGGGGTGGGGAAGGAGGGGCTGATTCTGGGTTTGGGGGGGTGTGGGCTTGAGGTGTTCCGGTGGGCATGGGGGTTTGAGGGTTCAAAGGAGAACGGTTGGTCTAGTGCGGGGGGTGGTGAGAGAAGAAGGCTGTCCAATAGGAGGGGGTTGGCGGCTGTGTGGTGGCCGTTCTGAATCGTTGTGTGGTGGAGATGATTAGATCCATAACCCCCTCTCTCAATAAACCACTGCAGGTGAGGGGCTGGTTGTTTCATTGAATGTGCGGGCAAGTGGTGGCCTTATGGTTTTGTAGTTGTGTGCAGGTGTGTATTCGTGTGCATAACGAGGGCACAATCTTCCTTTCATAGTCTTCATGACAAAAATGAGACTGATGTCTCTGAAAGTGAGCACCAAGTATTTTTTTTGCATGGGGTCCCATCATTATTTGGACAAACCTCATGAAAGGTGATACTAATTATTCAAAAAAAATTCATGCCTACCTCTTTCAATTCTATAGCACCACTCTGACAAAGGAAGCCCCAGCAAGCATTTCTAACGCGTTCCCCGTGTATGCCATAATCTTGGCTCTCTGCAAACACCTTAACCATAAATACATACAGTTAACAACAAAGGAGTGAAAGCACATAGCTAATAAAAATACAGATGCTATAGTCACAAAGCATCTTGAACCTGATATGCTAAGAAGTTTGAAGTCCACAATTCTGATATGATGAAATCTGTGCAAATTGCACATAAATCCTGCATCCAAAATGTTCCAGATGTAACGTACATGCAAAGGAAGCTGTTTAATCATCAAGTAGGGCCTGAGACACTCTCTCAGGAAAGCCACCTAACAACACTGATGTTTTCCTAAAGAAAACCTGCTATTTGGAATAATTGACCATTAAAAACTATGAAAAGTGGGAGGAAAGTTTACATATTTAAAACCGGCCCAATTATTTTTCCCTGCTTTTTTCAGGGACTTGACTCATAAACCCACTTAACTGACCCATCCAAAGACACTGTGTATAATGTTGTGAGCAAGCCAGTGTAAGAAATAAAAGCCCTCCCTTGTCCAATTCCCAAATTACGACACATAGAAACCCATTGTAACTGTGGTACGAATATATAATTTTGCATCAACAATGATTTTTTCTTTTGTAGAAATAATATCTTCCATATATCTTAACTAAAAATTTAATGTTCATCAAAATAGTAGTTATGAGAGTTTATTGCATGTGTGCTGATTTTTGTAGAACTTATGGAATTAAATCTTGACAATATTGAGTAGTTGTTTGATTATTCCACTAGAGAAATGTCCTAGCACTACTCTCATCAAAGAAATGGATAAAAGTAGAAAGATACATCAAACAATAAAGCATACGATGACCTTAAATTCAAAAGAAACACAAAACACTGGTACCCATTAATGGGGGATACCTGAAGGTCAAGAAAAGATGCGGCTGCAAGAACACGAAAGGCATTATTGTCACTAAGCCTCGGGTGATGTCCATAAAGATATGCCAAAGCTATGGCAATAGCTTCCCCATTAACATTGTTATCATCCACAAGCAGGGACAAAATCGGGGCATTGGCTTCTTTCCAAGGACCGTGAAGCATGTTCCTGTTGGCCACATTGTTTGGAAGCAAAAGATAAAATAATTCCACCTGGCAAATTGTTGTACCCTTAGCATACACATACTATTCACACACACAAGTGTCGTTCCAACCCATATTTTCCCATCTTGTATGATTATAGCCATCTTTTACTGTAATCTTATGGCTAGTTGTCCTCCTACAATCTAAAGCCTTTTACTTGCACATTGTGCCACAGAAAGTTATGTTCCTGATTTACCAGGTTAAACAATTCCTATGTTATATAGCACTAAACAAAACAGTGACTCAAACAAAAATACTTGACAATTATGTTTGATCCATCTTGTCACATCCCATTGTGACATGTTCTTCAGGACTTTGTAAATAATCTGTTACGCCATCCTATTGGTCCCTTGCAATGCTTTACTTAAATAAAAACTGTTCCTTGCTAATATAAAAATTAACCCTTCCTACAATATTCCAGTAAACTATAAAATAGAAAACGATATGCCTATCTCCTCGTCTGGTCTACTACTAGCGTAGCCTTCAACATCCCACATATCCATTTGTTTCTAATGCCCTGGTATCACTATTCTATCGTACTCACCTCTTCTTTAGCTAAGCCCAATCTAACGACATGCCATTTCTTGCCAGTGAAAACTGAAGAGAACAAGATACATTTGTCTTATATACTAAAGAGAAAATATATATCTTGTTAGAGCAACTCCAACCGACTAGCTAAAACCCTATTCTTAGCTATTTTAGCGAGGTAAGCTCCAACAAGCTGGCCATCCTACTCACTTAAATGTAGGAGACCCTTCATTCTCGCCAGATTTGGAGAGGGAGAAGAAGCTCGCCAGACTTCTTGTTGGCTCTTTCTTTTTCTTCATCTTCTCCAATTGCTGCCTTCGTCTCCAATTGCTGTCTTCGTCTTCATCTTCTCCAATTGCTGCATTTTGCATTCGAAACTCATTTCCCCCATTTCTAAAACCCCCCTCCCCCCAAATTCTGAAACCCCTCCCCCCCAAAAAAAAAAACCAAATTTTGAAACCCCCCCTAAATTCTGAAACCCCCAACAAATTTTGAAATCCCCCAAAATTTTGAAAAATTATCTTAATTTTATGTATAATAGAATATTTATATTTAGACCCTATAAAATATTAATGTAATTATTTGAAAAAATCTTAGATTTATGAGACGTGTTGTGTAATTAATTTTTGTTATTTAAAGTGGATGAGTGTTAAATTGTCATTAAGTTGTATTATTTAAAGTTTGATTAAAAATATTATTATGGTATGATTTTGATTGGGTTGATGATTATACATGCTTTGAGTTGAATTTTTGAATTATATTATTGAAAATTAGTTAAAGTTAGTTGAAGTAGTCGGCTAAAATATAGAGCGTAGTTAGAGTGAATTTATAAAAGTGACAACCTAAAATAGAGAATACAATATTTAAATACATTTTGACTAGCCATTTGTTGAGAGTTGCTCTTATCTCTAGTTTTCATAGGCAAGATAGATTCACATGTGGCAACATGTGCGATTGACAATGCATTCATGGTTTCAAGCTTTGGTTCCACAATCACTATTCATACTAATGAATTTCAAAGGTTTGCGAAAGATATATTGCTCCGCAGAAGCTTGATTCCACATTCACAATTACAACTTATCCCGAGTTTACCTGCCTCGTTCCCTGACTAGCCCTATCAACTACTAATTCACTCAATCCAACCATGGGCAACATGCTTCCGAAAATCCATGTAATATCGAATTGTATGCACATTCAAACAGAATACAAGGTAGCACATAAGTTGTTTCACTTCTCAGAAATCCAAACAAGCCATATCCAATATATGCATCACCATACTCTAATTAACTGTGTATTTACTTCTACGAAAACATAATTTACCCATTATTGCGTGTGTCCTACAGAATAACCAATTTCCCAAAACGAATTAATCAAAATCAGAGCAAAACAAGAATAATTTCAGAAATAAGGATGTAGTAGGAGTGAGAATTGTAATGGAGACCTGAAGTAAGAACTACGGGAGAGGATGAGACGGTGGAGATGATAGGTGGAGCCCATTGCGTGGACGACAACGTCAGAGAAAGCGCCGTTGTTGAAGCCTTCGGATTGAATGTGGTCGCAGAGGGAGGTGAGGTTGCAATCCAGTGCGCGAAGCTCTCCGGTGCTCCGGTCGTCGTCGGAGGGCTGTCTCGACATTTCCATTGGACCTCCGGCGTACGGTCGATGTTTGGGACACGGAGTTTCCATGCTAACGTCTCTCTGCAAAATGGTTGGCTATAGGAGGAGAGTGAAGATCGACGCCATTATCGGAAGAAAATGAGATGAAAATAGCATTAGAAGAGATAGAGAGGCATAACAGGAAGAGTATTTACATTCTTTCCCTTCTAAGTTTGCTAAAATGTCTCTCTGGCCCCTTTTAAAATCACCGGGTTTCAATTAGGAGTCCAACTCGGGCGGGTTAGACGGGTTGGACAATCAATTCTAGCCCAACCCTAAGTACATAATTTTCAACTCTAACCTTAACTCGAGTGGAGGAACTCAACCCAAGCACTATTCGAGTTTAATTCGTGCTGACTGGGTTGAATTCGGGTTAATGATTTTGGGTTATTTTACGACTTAAATTTGGGTTGAGCCCAAAATAGACTTTTTGTTTTAAATCTGATACATATATTACATAATATTCACCTAAATTAACAACTAACAATTTTAATCAAGTTTTTAACATAAAAACTATAATATTAAAAACTCAATGTTTGAGATAATACAACCACAACCATATATAACACAAATAAACACAACTAGAATTCTTATACAAATATAGAGTTAACTGCTTAAATAGTGAGTGAGGCAGTCGCACAATAAAGACTTCAGAACAGATTAACCCTAGATTTAAAAATGTATTTATATGGTTATAAATATTTGGGTTGAATCCAAAGATTAAATTAGGTTAAACCTGATTTTAATATTCGAGTTTAACTCGGTAACCTGAGGCCCACTCAAATTGAATTCGAGTTAGAATTTTTTGACCCAACCCCAACCTAAATATTAAAACCTAGTCCAAATTCTAATTTTTTTAGGTGGAAATCGAGTTAGCTTGCCCAAGTTACACGCCTAGTTTCAATATGATCCCATCCTTTTTGATTGTGTTATGGGTTGTCTATAAAACCAAATTTCATATTTAGTCCAAGTCCAGCCACTTTTAAAAGCTCTAAATTACTTTCAAACCCAACACAAAATCAAAAAAAAAAAAAAAGGTAAATGGATTTAGATTTAGTCGAAACTTTATCAGACTTATAAAAGGGTTAATTGTACTTAGATGTCCATACAGTATGAGATTTATCTTATTTTGATCTCTAATATTTTAATTGTATCAATTTGATCTCTAAATTATTGAATGTATTTCTATGTGATTCTTCAAAGAGATAATATCTAAATTACTAACGATTTTTTTATCATTAACTTGTTACGTATTACCTAAATAATGGACAAAAAATAATTTGGATAGATCTTGACTAAATTTCTACCAAAATTTTGATCAAATAGCTTATCAAATTATACAACTTTGATTATGAGCTATCAAAAATTTTTGGTCAACAGTTATTCAAATTATTATTTTTTCATATTTATGTATTACGTGACAAATTTATAATAAAAAATCGTTAGCAATGTAGACACTTTTTTTTATTAATGGATTATATAGAAATATATTTAATACTTTAGTGATTAAAATAATGTAATTAAAACTATTAAGGATAAAAATGGGATAAACTCTATACATTGGAACCTTCAGTACAATTAACCTTTTTTATTTTTATAAATGAATCAACATCAACTCAATTTGAATAAATACACGAGTTTTGGGTGTATATCGGATAGGTTAACTCGAATTTAAAAGTTAAAACTAAAATAGTTTATACATAGATAAATTTGTTCAATACCAGAGTCGAGATTGGACACAAAAGTTCAATCTCATCAACACTTTGGAAATATTTGGGTTAAGGTCTTGAGTACTCAAGATCCATTCTAAATTCAAAGCGAATTAATGAATTTAAGTATTATTCGAGTAAACTCAATCCAAATTTCAATTAAGATTATATAACCTCACAATTAAAAATGGGGTTTACCCTAGTTAAACTATGACATTAGTCCAAAATTCTAGTATGATTTGGGTTACATGATATCAAACATGAATTATATTCATTCACGATCGAATCTTGAACTCTGTTATGCAACTTGAGTTGAATTTAAACATAAACAGGATTCGAATTTGAATTGAATTCAAAGGACAAATCAAACCACTTGCAGCCAAATTACACCTAGGTAATCCTCTTTTCGACTCTAACTCTCCCACTCTAGGTGTTTTTTTTTCCCTATTACTTTGAAAGAAGCTGTTTTAGCTTCAGCCACTCGAATTTTTGATATTCTTTTTTATTTCTCATCAAACAAATGACATCTTCTTTTATAAATCCTAGTTATTCTTACTATGATATTTATAAATGTCATTGCTATTACTTAAACAAGTATGAAACATATGTTTACATATTTTCGAAAAGACGGGAAATGTTATTGGACTTGGACCGTTGCCAGTTAATGGCATTTGCCTTACCCAATTCCAAAAAAGGATTGATTCCCAGGAAGATAAATGCTACCCAATTCCCCGAAGATTTGACTAAACTTTTATAATTTTGAATTAAAAAATAGAGATTTCGATATATCGTTAAGGGAATAGCTATTTTTTTGCTGATTGGAACGATGTTATTGAAATTATATTTCTTTTATTACTTGCACCTACCAAAAAGAGGAAGAATCCTTAATTACTGATATCAAAAAAACAAGGATTCTATGAGTACTCCCTAATGTCAATACTTCGCGAGCGGGCGGGGGGAGCTCACACAAGTAGGTGAAGGATACCGCAGGCCTTTCTAGAAAAGGGTGGAGATAAGTCTCTCCTCAGCCCATAGAATCACATTCTAATCCGACGTGGCACTACCGGAGGTTTTGGATCCATAGAACAGGAAGGCAAGTCAACCAAATAGAAAGATGGATATGATTCGATCATTTGATCACTTATATTTTGCGGCTTTCACCTCACGCACAGAAGATTGAATTGCCTGAATCATGAATCTTTCTTATATATTATGTTACGGTCACCTAAATTACATTAATACCCGACATGAATTGATTCCGGGTGACTAATTTTTGATGCAGTGGACATATTTTTAGCGCGATTATTTGGGAAAAAAAAATAGGGTAAATGACTATTTCACCATGAAATATATTCTTATACTTAAATAGTGGGTCAATTGATTACACGACTCATTAATACGATATAAAATTAGAGAATTTTAATATTTTTTAAATCATCCAATTCGTAATGTTTGGACTCGACACAATATGATACTTAAACGAATTTGATATGAGTAAAATAAATGAAAAGAAATATATGACATAACTCATTTATATACTGATTACACATTATTTATATACGATGCGACCCTAATCCACACAATTCGTTAGACATTAATTAATAAATAAATCAGATATAATAAGTTGAATATTTTTTGACATGAATCTGCTAAAATTCAACACAAACTTGTTTCATTGAGAAACCTAGATTTAAGCAATTTATAGACCACTTTACTATTTCTATCCTCAATACGTGTGTATATGAAAAATTCACACTCAATTTTATTTGATAATTTTAATTTTTAGGGGTATAAATTGATAATTTTAAAATTTGTTAGGGTACAAAGTGTCATTCGCCAAAAAAAAAAAACCAAATATTTATCAGGATTTTACACAACTTTAGAAAACCTGACAGTCCGACTCCTTCACTCCCTCGGTCGCACAGTCGACGATCGACTGAGTCGTCTCACCATCTCTTCTCAGCTCTGTCAGTCTCAAGACTCTCAAGTCTCGCGCTTCTCTCCCTTCCGCGACCGCAAACCTCGCATCAAACTGCTGGGTCTACGGTAATTTCTCTAACAAAGAAATTCAAACAAAATTTTTTTTTTTTGAAAATTTGGATATCATTCATCACATTGTTGTTCCTTTTTGTTGGGTTTCGCATAGTGGTTTTGTCATCTCTGATACCATTTTGGTCACTTGGTTGTCACCAATTTTAGCCAATTTAATTGACCAACATACTCGAACATTTTTTATCAGAAACACAACAAAGTTAATAGTTTGTGCTAGACCCAGTTCGGTAATCAGTATTGGATTTGTTTTACCTTTGCTGAAAAAGTCGAAACGTTTTGTTTCAATTTTTTCAAAGCAGGGCTTAAAAGGATTTTGGGACAAAGACTTTGTTGAGTTGAGGGCGAAAAAATTGGAAATTTGTTTTTTGTGTGTGTCTGTGTTTATCCCAAAGTAGCAGACCACTCAATAGTATGTTTGTGTATATGAGAGAAAGGATACCTGAGAAATCAATAAGCATGCAACATATAGGGGGAAAAAAAGGAAAAACTTAATCTTAATTTTCAATGGGGTATGAACTGTAAATGAATAATAGGGAAAAACATATACTCAGTCGGTATTATATATTTTCACTCAATTGGTAAATTTCTGAAGAAATCGCTTGAGAATGCGATTATAGTTTTCGTTTCGCTGCTTCATGTTGTTTACTGCTGAAAATTCTCTCAAGAATGGTTCTTTATAATAATTAGAAGTTAAAATTCTGCAGCAATCACCACCACCATCTTACAAAGTAATACTCTATAGACTACCGCAATCCTTCCGGCGGTATAAATGGAAGGAGTAAATGTGCAATGTCATATACACTGGAAGAGGTTTATAATTATTTCAAAATATGATGCTTAACAAATTTCTTTAAACTTGTTCATTATTGCACATCATAATCATCATGTTTTGTATCTAGTTATCTTTTATTATATGCTGAAATTTGAAGATTAAGCTTCTTTCCAGAATTTTGTATTTCCTTGCAGCTATGCACGCTCCCTGTCATTTCCTTGGTGGCATATTTGTGCTTTTGTTTTTTGTGCAGCTGAATATGCATGGTGTATTTGTAGCTCCAATATTGGTAATTTTCAACACTGACCCATATCATCCTCGTCAGATCAGAAGAATAAAGGACATTGTAGCAGCTCAGATATGCAAGGATGAAGACACTCTTGAGCAAAAAAGGTAAACCTTGTGCATGGATTTTTTCATTCAACGAATGAAGAACTTAATAAATTTAGGGGTTTTGTCTCTCAAATCTCTATCTTTTATGATTTCTAAAGCTAGTTGTTTGTAATTTTGCTGTTTTTTTGTTTCTCAATTCGTGAGCACAAACTTTCTTTGGTTGGAGAGATCTGTTTAAACCAGAAGGCAGTGTCTTAAATTTTCCACCATCTGTAGTGCAATCATTATTTGGACCTTCTTTTAATAGGTGATATTACTGCACCCCCCCCCCCCCACCACAAAAGGTGCTAAAACCTATTTTGATTTGTCGGAGGCAACCCATAGCATGAGCCTTCTATGTTTACAGGGTTACTGATATTTCCTCCACTCCACCTGTTTTTGTGGGTGTGATGTGATTTCAATTGCTAATTTTTTTTTATCTGGTGCTGCAGGCATTTTATTTCAATATGATCCGAAATTCTCTCACATATTTGGATCGTGTAAGAGGTTCTCAACCTCATGTAATGGACCTTCTGCTGTGGATGGGAGAGCTGCTCCTTTTGTTGACTGTGTAAGGCAAGGGGTGGATAACGTGTGTCGGATCTTGGAAACTGGTCCTTGGGGACCTTCCCTGGAGAGTGCTGTATCTGTATGTGATGAGAAACCTCACACAGAATTAGTCATTGGGGTCTTAAGGAGGCTGAAGGACGTCAATCTAGCAGTAAACTACTTTCGATGGGCTGAAAAACAAACAGACCAAGCACATTGTCCAGAAGCATACAATTCACTGCTTATGGTATTAGCCAGGAGTAAAAATTATGATTGCCTGGAACAAATTCTGGAAGAAATGAGTCTAGCTGGATTTGGCCCATCTAATAACGCTTGTATTGAGCTGGTCGTAAGCTGTGTCAAGGCTCAGAAACTAAGAGACGCGATTAATCTTATCCAAACCATGAGGAAATTTAAATTCCGACCAGCATTTTCGGCTTATACAACTCTAATTGGTGCTCTGTCTGCAGTTCATGAACCTGACCTCATGCTTACCCTCTTTCACCAGATGCAGGAGCTAGGTTATGAAGTAAGTGTGCATTTATTTACAACTCTCATTCGTGTGTTTGCCAGGGATGGTCGGGTTGATGCTGCTCTTTCCTTGTTGGATGAGATGAAGAGCAACTCGTTTGATGCTGATATTGTACTCTACAACGTTTGTATTGATTGCTTTGGCAAGATGGGCAAGGTCGATATGGCTTGGAAATTCTTTCATGAGATGAAAGCACTTGGGCTCATGCCTGATGATGTGACATATACTAGCATGATAGGGGTTCTTTGCAAAGCTAACAAACTAGATGAAGCTGTTGATCTATTTGAGCAGATGGAGCTGAATAGGGAAATCCCATGTGCATATGCTTATAACACCATGATCATGGGTTATGGATCAGCTGGAAAGTTTGACGAAGCCTATAACTTACTTGAGAGGCAAAAACATAAGGGATCCATTCCTAGTGTGATTGCATATAATTGTATTCTTACTTGCCTTGGGAGGAAGGGGAAGGTAGACGAGGCTTTGAGAATCTTTGAGGAGATGAAGAAAGATGCAGCGCCAAATCTTTCAACATATAATATTCTTGTGGATATGCTTTGTAAGGCAGGGAAACTTGAGACTGCTCTTGAGATTCGGGATACAATGAAAGCAGCTGGCTTGTTTCCTAATGTATTAACGGTGAACATAATGATTGATCGACTGTGTAAGGCTCAAAAGCTTGATGAAGCTTGTTCTATATTTGAAGGAATGGATCATAAGGTGTGCACGCCAGATTCAGTTACTTTTTGTTCTTTGATAGATGGCTTGGGCAAATGCGGCAGAGTAGACAATGCTTACAGGCTATATGAAAAGATGTTGGATTCTGATCGGATTCCAGATGCCATTGTTTATACATCTCTAATAAAAAACTTTTTCAAATCTGGGAGAAAGGAGGATGGTCACAAAATTTACAAAGAAATGGTCCGTAGAAGTGTTTCTCCAGACCTAACGCTCCTCAATACGTATATGGATTGTGTTTTCAAAGCTGGCGAAACAGAGAAAGGCAGAGCTTTGTTTGAGGAAATTAAGGATCAGGGGTTCATTCCAGATGTGCGGAGCTATTCTATACTAATTCATGGCCTAATAAAAGCTGGTTTCGCGCGTGAAACCTATGAGTTGTTCTATGCAATGAAGGAACAGGGATGTGTCCTGGATACCCTTGCTTACAACACTGTTATTGATGGATTCTGCAAATCAGGTAAGGTGAATAAAGCTTACCAGCTCCTGGAGGAAATGAAGGGGAAGGGTCACCAACCCACTGTAATTACCTATGGCTCTGTCATTGATGGGCTTGCTAAGATTGACAGGCTTGATGAAGCTTACATGCTCTTTGAAGAAGCGAAATCTAATGGAGTGGAGTTAAATGTTGTTGTGTATAGTAGTCTTGTTGATGGGTTTGGGAAGGTTGGCAGAATCGATGAAGCATATTTGATTTTGGAAGAGTTGATGCAAAAAGGTTTAACACCTAATGTGTATACATGGAATTGCTTGCTTGATGCATTAGTAAAGGCAGAGGAAATTAATGAAGCGCTTGTTTGCTTTAATTCAATGAAGGAGTTGAACTGCATTCCCAATGCAATAACTTACAGCATTCTCATAAATGGTCTATGTAGGGTTCGAAAATTCAACAAGGCCTTTGTTTTTTGGCAGGAGATGCAGAAGCAAGGGTTAAAACCCAACATTATAACCTACACTACCATGATATCAGGGCTTGCAAAAGCTGGAAATATATTAGAGGCTAATGGCCTATTTGAAAGGTTCAAGGCAAATGGAGGTAGACCTGATTCTGCTTGTTATAATACTATAATAGAGGGCTTGAGCATTGCCAATAGGGCAATGGATGCATACTCACTATTCGAAGAAACTAGATTGAAAGGTTGTAATATATATACCAAAACTTGTGTTGTTCTCTTGGATGCACTACATAAGGCTGAGTGTCTCGAGCAGGCAGCAATTGTGGGTGCTGTGTTGAGGGAAATAGCAAAGTCTCAGCATGCGTCGAGATCCTTGTAACATCTGAGTTGTATTTCTTGTTAGCTACTGAGGGATTGATATGTTGTGTATTGGTCTATTAGATGAGGTCCTTCTCATTTTTCCCAAACACTCGCCCCAGTTTCCTTTTGAAGATTATTCTTGATGTTGTTGGTTGCTTCTGAATCAAAAGTGATTCTTTGCTCTGATCAATAATGCCCCTGGGTGAGTGATGTGTTAGTTTTGAAACTCCACTTTTACCTGGTTAGCATGGTCACTGACATGGGATCTTCACTGGTGTTCAGTGAGTATACTTCATTTCCAGACATTCTTGACATTGCATGGTTGCTTCCTTTCCTTACTTGAATTCTTGGGTTCGACCATACCTGTTCTCCGAGGATACCAACTGTTCTTAGTTAAAATGGCTTCAGTTACTTCTATGCATGGATTTTCATGAGCCCTTGAAAAGGTATTGTGCTTATTTCGTCTCATTTACTCCTTTTACATTGATATACTACACAGAACAACCCCCTCCCCATAAAAAAAACTCGTGTTCTTGTATTTCATTGAGGTAACCTGTTGTTTTATACTTTAGGTCTCCATGCATTGCATTGATTCGCTCCTTGATACAAGCTGGGAAAAACACATTGTATTTTTGGCAGATAGGAAGGATAAGTAGTATTCAGCATGACATCACATGAATGTATATGGAGATAGTAGCTCAATTGTTGGCATCAATGTAAGTGTACCTTTCGATAATCTCTTCACATGAATTTCTTGAAACTTCCTAGAAATTTATGATGGAATTATTCACTGTTTGTTTCCTTACTTTTGGTCTGTTGTCATTCACCAGGTGGACATTTGGTACTATGGTCTCGTCCACAGCTTACGCATCAAGTTAGGGGTTAAGTTCTGTAAAACTCCAAACAACTACCGATCAAGACCTGCAAATTTGCTGACCTGCATCTTCAGCCGCGGTCATGGTCATTGGATTGTTTAACAGTAACATTAGCGCCACGTCTTGGTGTGCTGGTCACTTATGTCCCAGGATGTTACAAACATTATCATGGGTTTTATTTGCTTAATGCATGTTGCTCTAATGAAACTCTCCCCCATGATCCTGTGTTACTGCTACAAAGCTTTCCTCCTGTTAGTGTTCTGAACTGGAATTCATTCGAGGCTTGTCCTCCTGGTAAGTAGGTTACTGTTTGCTTGAATAAAATTTGGCAAAAGTGATTAGAACTGAACAATAAAAGTGGTTACTGTTTACTTTCGATCGGAAATGATTAGAACTGATCCAACGGTCACTACTGATTTGGGATCCGGTGCTTTTATGGTGTTAACATTGGTCTCATAATACATGCTAAAAGACGTCACAATAACTCGGAATACTAAGGTGGTAATTGAGTGTTTACAGTTTTTTTTTTCCCAAAAATAAAAAAAATAACGTGTTTGTGATATGTTTCTATTTTTTTTAAACCACATTGTTTTGAAATCAAAGTCAAAATCTGGAAACAATAAAAATGGTGTTTTGGAAAACATCAAAAACTAAAAACATGCGCCCGCGCGATTTCCAATTAACAATTAATGAGGTTCCGGCTTTGAATCTCATTAGCAATAAAATAAGATTTTTTTGGATCAATTAGAAAAGAGCAATGTTATATGGATTTAAAAAATAGACTTAAAAACTAGATTTGATAATCTTAACCATTGATTTCATTGTGGGTTTCATTATTTATTAGGACCCACTACCTATTCAATGGTTGAAATTATCAAGTCTAATTTTTAAATCTTGTTTTTTAGTCCATCTAGCATTACTCATTAGAAAAACTCATTTTTTCCTTCTTTTTTTTCATCTCTTCGTCTCTTTCCCTCATTTGTGTCTTTCTCTTGCTTGTTCTTTCTCCTGAAACCAAGGATGAAGACGGAGACAAAGAGGCCAACGACGAAATCAAAATGAAGATGAAATTGAAGACAAAGACGAAGACGAAATTAGTGGATTTTCAGGGGTGGGTTTCAAAGGGTTTCGGTGGTGTTGAGTGGTTGTTGGTGGGAGTGGATTTCAGTGGATTTTACCCCCTATTTGATTGGAGGGAAAATAGAGAGGATGAAAAATAGAAGAAGGAAAGTGGAAAGGAAGAAAAATCTTTCTATTGTTTGGTATGGAGGGAAAATGGGAGGGAATAGAAAATGGAAGGGAAATGTTTTCCCTTGAGCCCACCAAACATTTCCCCCCCAAAAATGGGTGAAAAATAGACTGTTTTTTGTGAATTGACTATTTACCCACCACGCTCTTCCCTTGAGCCCATTTTTGTATATGTAATGGAAGAATTAATACTTACACGTACATAATGAAAAAATACATATAATTTCTAGTTAGATACACATTAAATAATTAAATGAAGAATTTCTTTATAAGTAAATTTTATTTTTGATTTTATTTTAATAAATGATAGAATAAAACATGAATTTTGGTTGTAAAATTTTGATACACATTATTTTTGATTTTATTTTGGTATAATTATAATATTTTAAACTTAAAAAGAGTCTAAATATTATATACTTATAAACTTTAGGGGGTTTAAATATTATATACTTATAAAAAAAAATCATGCATTTTGGTTTATTTTCTTTAATCTTATTCATGTAATTAGATTTGAGGGTATAATGGTAAATTTGATATATATATATATTTTTTTCCTTTCGATCCAATAACAAACAAAGGAAAATGCATCCCTTCAATTTTTTATTCATCATACCAAACATAATAAGGAAAAATACATTCTTTTTAACTTTCCATCCTTTTAACTTTCTATCCTTATAATTTTTCATCCTTCCTACCAAACGGACCCTTAGGGGGGGGTTCATGGGGTTTCAGTTGTGTTGAGTGGTGGTTGATGGGAGTGGGTTTTCGGGGGTGGTGGGTTTTGGTGGTGAGTAGGGATGTCAGTGAACCGAAGCAGGAGCGGGGAGTGTAGTCTTCATCCCCGTACCCGCTTAAAAAAATTATGTTCATCCCCGTTAATGGGTATAATTTTCATCCCCATCCCCCGTCCACGGATAAATTTTTAATCCTCTTCCCCGTCCCCACTTTCCCATACCTGCTTAAGCTCAAGCCCAAGTCTAAGCCCAAGTAGCATAATTTAAAATTCTAAATAAATCTAATATTTTAAATAATTCAACAATATTCTAAATAATCTAATGAATAATCTAGATTACATAATGTAAAAGTCAAAACAATATAGTATTCTGTTTAAAGGGTCATTGGACCACAAAAAGAGAAACAAAACTATTAGAGAGAAATGAAAAAATGAAAAATAAAATTGAACTAAAAAAACGATAGCACTACACTTGAAGTTTCCTAGAAAATTTTTTATTATTACAATTCATATTACAGCCATAAAGTGTTAAAAGATGAAAACTTAAAATTTCGCTAATTCAATAATTCTCCCAATTTTTTAGTTCACTCTAGCAAAGAAACTTATCAACCTCCATTCACAATATTTCTATCCACAATAAAATGCAAAACTATCTTACTCTCTCTTATCTGTTTTTAGAGTATGGTCAATCCAAACTCCTAACAGTTTCAATCAGTGAACACAAATAAAAAAAAGAATAATCAGGGAAAAAGTTGATAAGATTACCACATAACAATATCACTTGTTAGTTTGATTACCATATTTTTAGATTAGTAGTTACAATAAATATGTTTAGTTAAGACTTGTGAGTATATATATATATATATATATATAGCGGGGGCGGGGAGGGGAGGGGCGAGGGCGAGGGCGGGGCGGGGCGTAAGGGGTAAGGGTAAGTCCATCCCCGCCTTCATCCCTGTATGGGTTTATACAGGTATCCCTGTATACGTCCACCGTCCAATACGTATAGTCCATCCCCGGTCCAAACGGGACAGATTTGGACGAATACCCGCTTTCCCCGGTCCACTGCCATCATTGGTGGTGAGTGATGTTTTCGGTTTGATTTTGGTAGTGGTTGGATGACTAGTGGTGGTTGTGGGTTTTGGGTGCGGGTGGTTGGTGGTGGTATTGGGTATAGATTTTTGGTATGATACCAAACAAGTTTTTTATTTTTGTTTTCATGATTTTTTTAATGTAAATGACTACTAAACATCTATATAATAAAAAATAAGTGTGTTTGAATATTATCTCAGTCATATTTTTCCTCTCAAAACTATCACCAATCACTTATCTCACCCATCATCCCTTTGTCAGACTGAAACGTCAAATCACATCACTTATTTCTATCACATATTTAATCATTTATATATTTCCTCCCTAAAAATATTACACCACTCATTTCTATTATATATCTAATAATTTAATAATTAATTAATTTTTAGTTAATATATTTTGAAAAAATTTAATATAGTGGGTTTGATTTTAGACGCTCAAATTTTATATTTTATTGTGTCTTCATGCACGGGTTATGACTAGTGTTCTATATTTTTTATTTTTTATTACAAAAAAATAAAAATTAATTTTTTTTAATAAAAAAAGCATAAAAACGAAAACGTTATCAAACGTATCCTAAATTAATAGGCCAGGAGTATTTATCGGGTTTTTATTGATAGCAACGGTATTACATTACTTGTAGATACTTTTATCAGTGTTGGGATTTTTTTTAGGTATAAAAAAAGTGATAAAAATAATAAATCACTCACAAAAGTTATAATTTTTTTAGTTTTAAATTATTCATAAAAATTATAAAAATACCATTAAAATTATAAATTTTAAAAATATGATACCTTCTTTTTTATTGGTACTCTAGCAAGTCTTAAAAACTCTGATAAAGAATTTTGTGCTTATTGATTTTTTAACAATAACGCGGTAACAGATCGAATGCTCAACAAAATCACACATAATAATGTGAAAAATTTTATTGGTGAAGGTGCAAATTTTTAGGGGGACTTGCTTCTAAATTTCTCTAAAATTTAATGAATATAATTTTTTGTGAAAATTAGAAGTAAGTCCCCTAGATGTACTTGTTTAGAGATAAGTCATGTAAGAAAACTTATAAGGGACTAAGTCCATGTTTAAAATTATATGTAATAATTTAAGTCAATTTTTTTTTTATCTCAAAAATACCCTTCTTTGAAAGAAAGTTAATTTTTTTTCTCTTATATCTATCTATATCCACATATAGGTTAAGAGTTTGACTAAAATTAAAATTTTTCCTCTCTCTTATCTATCTACTAGTCATTGCCTGTGTCTGAAGGTACTATATAACCCATAAAAAATCGCAAATAATTGTCCATCTTAAAAAAAAAAGTGGGTCAAAAACATTTATATCAATTCTTTTAAAATAATCTGAAATATACTGTCGATCATATCTTTCATATTAATAGAACTATCTCAAAAATGTATAAAAAAAATTTCCCAAAACAATATCACATATACAAATACATCGGGAAAAAAAATACTAATGAAATCTAATAACATTTATAATTTTTAAGTAATATAAAATCTTACTCATTTATAAGGCGTACGAATTTATCACCATTCAACCGAATAACACAATATAATTATAAATTCAATTACTTATTATTTTTTTATTGCTATTAGCTTGGACTTTGAATTTTTTTTTTTTTTTTGATGCAATTGGTATCACTTATTATTTTTTTATTGGTGATTAGCTTGCCTTTGATTTTTTTTTTTATGGTGCAACTTGACTTTGCAGGTCTACAACTTGGAATTTTTTTTTTTAGCATTCAAAATTTTTTTCTTTCTATAAAATTACTCAAATATTTAACTTTGTAATTTTTTTTATCAGTGATTAGCTTTAGTTTGAATGTCTACGACTTGGGAAAAAAAATTTATAGTTAGTTTTGAATATTATTTTTTGGTGCAATTGGTTTCATTTATTTATTTTTTATTGACAATTAGCTTGGATTTGAATTTTTTTTTTTGGTACAATTGGTATCACTTATTATTTTTTTTTATTGGTGATTAGCTTAGTTTTGAATTTTTGGATTTTTGTGATTAGTTTGGTTTTGAATGTCTATGAATTTTTTTTAACATTTAAATATTTTTTCTTCTATAAAATCATACAAATGTATGACTAAGAAGTACCGAAAATAGCAATAGCCTATTTTACACATAACATTTAACAATAATAAAATCATGTTAAAACTATAAATTTTGAACAAAAAAGTACTGAAAAATAATAATACACATTTAACACATAACATTCACTCACAAAAAAATGGTGATGGTGACTAGATTAATATAAATCATATTTAAATCCGAAATTTAATACAAAATTTAAATTCGAAGAAATTAAATGTCAATCGATTGATATTCCTGAATTAAATTCAAAGGAGAGACTGGGTAATAAAAATTTCTGTAAAATAAATTTTTCTTAAATGTGAGGCCTATAAAACTATTTTTATCCTTTGAGTTCCCTTTTTCTCAGACCGTTGTCGTCACCCCTCTGTCTCTGACTCGCCACCATGTATGTTTTCTGTTCCACAGCTCTTTGGGATCACTATTGAACAATCTCAAATACCCATAAGGCCACGTGTCCTATTGGATCATTTCATAATTTCCAATTCTCCGAGAATTATTTCACAACATGGAAATGTCAAACCCTATGATCACTGGTTACTCCTCTCTCTCTTTCTCTCTCCAGAATAGAAATACATATGAATATCTATATATTTGCATGTATACACAGATTGGGGCCATTTGAAGCTTTTCTTCCAGTGAGGGAAGAATTGGATGTAGGTCTAGCCAGTTTTCATAGAAAGCTATAATTTGCATTCGTAATCAGTTTATTGCCTCTGTTTTTGGTCTACTTATTTACTCTTCTACATAGTTCGATAACAGTAAAAGATAGTGAATGGAAAACCCTCATACAGAGTTCTACTTATATACCCTTCTCTCGTAGGGTTTTAATAATCGAAATAGGAGAGCAGTCCACCAAGAGGTAGTTCTGTGAGAAGGCGAAGATGTTCTTCCAAAACCAAATTCAGAAATACTTAATAAAAATAACATACTGCATTGTACAAAACCAAGTTATTGTCAGATATAGACAAGTTGCTTCGATAATACAAAGTTCGATTAAGCACAATTCACAGGAGGCAGAAAATGAACACACAGGCGCACACACACACAAAACCCATAACACAGAAAGGAGAGAGCGAGATAGATAGAGAGAGAAAGAGATAATTTAAGAAAACTAGAACACAAAGACACAACAAACCCAGAATACACACTCACACAAAAAACCTAGAATACCTGGACTCTTGGTATTGCCTATTGCAGTGGGTGTTACTCCGGTGTGCAGTGTGTTGTAGAGACAGAGAGGAAGGGCAGAGAGAGGGGTATTGTGAGATAGTTAGACTTGCTGGAGGTATGTGGGTGAGTTAGCAATTGAGATAAGGGATTCGATAGGTTATTTGTTTTTAAAAATGAGAGAGTCAGAGGAGGAGTCTCAATAGATAGGATTAGTTAGATTATTTGTTTTTAAAAATGAGAAAGAGTTAGAGGAGGAGTCTGGCCAGATAGGATTAGATAGGTTATTTAATTTTAAAAATGAGAAAGGGTTAGAGGAGGAGTCTGGCCGGATAGGATTAGATAGATAATTTGTTTTTAAAAATGATAAGGGAGTTAGAGGAGGAGTCTCGGCAGATAAGATTTTTTTTAAAATGGCTATGATGAGGACCGTTAGATAAAAAATTATGAAGTAATCTGAGCCGCGAAAAATTCAAGACAAACATTTATAGGTACTTTATTATATATATATATATTTATATATAGGTTAGGTGTATACAGTAACATTAAAAAATATAGTAACATTTAAATACAAAAAAAATTACTATAAATTTAAATAGTAAAATTCAAATTCATGGTACTATTTTTTTTATTATATTACTGTTCATGTTACTGCTTTTATTGAGTATGTTACTGTTTTTGTTGAACATGTTACTGCTATTATTTTCCTAAATATTAATATTCAATATTACTATTTTTTTTAATATTACTATTTTTTGTATTTGAATGGTATTATTTTTTGCATTTGAATTTGAGAAAAATAATTATTGTTAAGTATGTTACAGTTTTTGTTGAGCATGTTAATATTTTTATTGAACATGTTACTGTTGTTATTTTTTAAAAATATTAATATTGAATATTTTAATTTTTTTATGTTTAAATGTTACTATTTTTTTGTGTTTAAATGTATTATTTTTTGTATCCAAATGATAATTTTTTTTTGTATTTGAATGTTACTATTTTTTACTTTTAATGTTACTATATATTTTATATATATATATATATATGAGAGATAAAAGATTTTAATATTAGTCAAACTTTTAAGATTTAGAAATTTTTAATTTTTAGTTTTATTTCACTTCTAAAAGGAAGATAGTACGGTAAAATTGACAAAAAACGGACTTCATAACAAATAAGTTTTCTTGACGGACTTAAGTCCAAATAAGTCCATATAGGGGAACCGACCTCCAAATTTTCCTAATTTTTTTTTGGACTAGTGATGTACACATTCTAAAATTTTGGGCCTAAAGCCATGTTTATTTTTATGTTGGGCCGGCCTTGCCGATTGGTGGACAAATAGATCGTAGTGTCTGATGAACCCATAGCCTTTATGATCGTTGAAGCGGACCACCTTGCCCAATGATCTAGGGTTTTCCTCTGTCGCCATCGACCTCGAAAGAAACAGTTCTGCCGCCATTCCCGAATTATTTATATCGAGGTTCTGCTCGCTCATCTTTCTTTATCTGTTGCTTGTTTGAAAAGTGAGGGGATTAAAGATTTCCGAAATCTTTTGTTATTTGTTCATGGTTCAAGGGAGACTGTTGAATGATTGCTACTCCTACAGCACACAAAGAAGCCCTAAAGGCCCACCCCTAAAAAATAAGGGCACCGATAACACTGTATTTCGTGTATAATAAGAAACAAAAGGAGGAGGCCTCTGACCTGAAATAAGCAGCCGAGAGCCGACACATCTAAACCATGGCGATTCAAGAGCTTCCACACGATATCACGGTCCAAATACGCTTGAGATTACCAGCCAAGTCTCTGATGCGATTCAAGTGTGCGTCCAAACCATGGCGATCGTTAATCACTCATCCCAATTTGTTTTAAACCATCTCAATCATCATGTCGCCACCAAAGCCGACGATAATGAACAATTCTACGGAAGTTCTATACGTGTTTATGTGAAAGGCAATACCCGATCTCCAACAAGAATCACAATCACTTTAGAGGCCGATGATATTCGCGGCAGAGGTTTTCTCAGAACAATTGATCTTCCGGAGGAGTTTGGTCTCTGGAACAAAGGCTTTAGGTGTTGGGGTGACTGCCACGGATTGCTTCTATTGTATCATTACAAAAGAAACTTGTTATGGAATCCATGCACTAGGGAATACAAGCTCCTGCCAAAGGCTCGTCGTTATCATCGTTGCTTCAGCTCTAGCACAGTTTACGGTTTCGTTTATGATCACTCCTCCAACGATTACAAGGTCGTTCAGGTAGATTATCAAACACCTGGGCTACAGCCAAATCATGTGAATGTCAAAATCTTTAGCGTGAAAACCAACTCATGGAGGAGTTATGAACTTCGAATTCCTCGCCCACCCACTACTTGTGACCCTGCTATCCACCTGAATAAAGGCAAGTGCAACCTATGTAGTTCAGTGGTGGTGACATTCATACCAGGGTGGTATGTTTCAGCTTAGTGAAGGAGAGATTTAAGAAGTTGCCACCAGTGCCAGAACTTTCCAATGCGAGTGAAGGTTGGTTGAGGGTGGCTTTGCCTGGTCATAATTCATATTTTGGCGTGAATATGGAACTGTTGGTGTTGGAGGAAGAGGAGGGCACCGAATGTTGGACTTTGAGAACGATTCCACGAGGATCAGAACAGAGTAGATATAACTGTGTTTTTTTTGAGACTCTGGTTTCACCGAATGATATTTAGCAAAGAGAGGAACTAACACTCTCTGGATCTAATCAACGCAATTGTCAAGGACTTGCGTGTTCCCTTCCTTCCCTTTCCCTTTCCCTTTCCCTTGTTGATCATTCTAATGTGCATGTCACTCTATCATTTGTTAAGAAAATTTTGATATATTTTCTAACACTTTTTTTTTTTTTTGGGAGTTTAGCGATAGAAGATGTTTGAGTTAATTTATACACGTCTCGATTAATTCTCTCTCCGGTTCGATCAAAGACTTGTCGTCCACTCATGATTTGGTCCCAAATAGTTAATAAGATTCGAATTCAAAATGTTTGAATTTACAATTCGTACTTATTATTATTTGAACTAAATTTTTAAAAATAAAAAAATCTAACTATTGATGATTTGAGTAAATATTTGAGTATATCTCTTAATTTTGTATAATTTTTTTTTTAATTTTAAATTTATATTTTTTATCACGTGGTTCGAATGGTTCGGATTTTTGGACATTGCTAAGAAATTAAGCATTCACATCTTGCAAGTGACAACACTTTGTGGAAGAATATTATACATAATGTAATTTGATTCCCATGCCATTTAATGGTACACATCTTGTCAATTAGTTGTGTGGTGATAGTTTATATGGTGTTTAAATTATATTTGTATTAAAATTTATTTAATTCACATTTAAATTATTTATATGTATATTGGGGTTTGTATCTTATACATGTATGAGTCGCATTCAATCTCTTTTTTTTTTCTTTGTCAAGTTTTTGTTTATTCAAGTTTGTGTCAATTTATATTTTTTTTGAACAAGAAATATAATTATTTATCACTGAAATTTATTAAGACAAAATCTAAATCAACCAATTTCACATTGAATTTGTGTCGAGTTTCAGCATCGTGTCTATAACTTATATCCCCCAATTTTGACTGTGAAATACAATCAAATCACTGATAAAAGACATTGAGAACATTTTTTTTCCTAGATGTTTAATTGTTAGAGTTTTAAAATATTTATTCAATTTATCTCATTCAAATTTTTTCATGCGTCTTTCACAACCACTCTGATCAATTTTTTAAATTATTTAAAATTTATAAGTATAAACAAAAGTGAAAAACTCTTAATCGGCCTAAATAACATTAATAAAATAACTAATGCGTCTTATATCCTACCATTTCATATTCCGCTCTTTAATTTTCTTCTAATACTAATTTATATTAAATTCATATATATTTGTCTATCTATTTATATCTATATCTATATTACTTTTAAAAGTGTCTTACAAAAATCAAAATTTATTTTTCTCTTCTATCCTTAAACAATTATATAAAGACAATCATATCCAATTTTCTAATTTAACTCTTAGACCATTCATATTTTAAGAATAATTATTCAATTATAAGTGTAATGAATAAATCTATATCTATACTATTATAAAATATAACTTAATACTAACCTTATTTAATAACCTTTTCCTTTTTCCCACTACTCATACACCTCCTTACATGTCCCTCCATCTGCATTTTTATTCTAGTTAATGTGGAGCTCTTTTTGTTCCTCTCTTCCCAATTGCCTCCCTTTCTACCTTCGGGAAAGGTCTCATATTCTAAATTTGATTTTTGTTTATAATTAGTGGGTTCTCGTAAACACGAATTGATTTTCAACCATTATATTGGATTTCAGAAGATTAGGACATAAGACTTAATTTGGTTTGGTTTGATTTGATTTATGTTGGATTTTAAAACTTTTTTATATCCAATTTACTCTACCAATCTCACTAATTTAATTGTCCTCCAAAATTGTGTTAAGATTTTCTCGTTTTGTCTTGTTTGATTATTTTATTTATAGTTTATCGATTTTTTTTGCTTGGTTATTTTTGCAGCTTCAAGTTTACAATTAGGGGCATTGAAGTTAGACAACCGATGGTTATGTATGCTTAGGCCAAATGAGAGTTATTGGCAATAGGAATTTTGCCTATTAATCATATGAAAATATTTTTTAGATCTAAAGGGAAGCAAAATATTTCAATGTTCAAGATGTCGAAATTGGTTGGTCCACTAAGACTGACCACATAACACATTGTTATTTTTCTTTGCACCCCCTCCACGTTAGTTTTCTTGATAAATTCAAAATCAGATTTCTTATATGTTTTAAAACTTGGTTTCACTTTGATGTTCTATTTTCTATATACTATTATGATAAACTTAAACAACATTTTAATTATTTTAATTTTTTATTGCGATAATTTGGTTTGAAGTCAAGTGGATATTATGGTCCGTTTTATTATGATAACACTCTTTATTTCATCAAAATTTTTCATGTATTATTGTTCTCTTTATTTTTGTAATATCGCATTTACTTTTTTAAAAAATTATGTTATATTTTACCTGTTTTTGGTATAGGAGTTGAAGATACTTTCTTATAATTTTATTTTTTTTGCAAGAATACTTCAAACTAAATAGGCTATGATATTCAATTTATCAATTATTTCTCAAATATATACTTGTTTTTTTATATTCACTTCCAAAGTGTCATGTTCCTAAATAATAAATAGTACAAAAACTGCACCTAAAAACTTTGTTGCACAAATAAACATTAAAAAACATATAAAATAAATAAATTATAATTATAATTCAAAATTATTCATACACCTAGTAATATTATTTAAATACAATAATTACTAATTATTCAATAATATTATGGCTAAGGAGGATCCACCCCCACAACCTTATCGAGGCCATGCTATAATGTGTGGGTCGTCTCGGCTACTACACCAACCGCCACTCAGACATTTCACCGAAGCACCACCTCCAAACAATAAGAAACAAACACAGAAGAAATCATAGAAAAACCCAAAAAGAAACCCTAACCACCCATCATTTCCAAAGACGACCTCTGTTTTTTCACTTTTGCTTTGGCAACCGTGTGTGTGTCTTTGTGTATTTGTTATGATATAGAAAATAGAACAAAGAGCTCACGTCCATGGAGTCAAGGCCTCGTGGTGTCCCTCTTTCCGCAGCACAAGCTACCCCACCACCTGCTTCGAAGGTTTATTTTTCCACCTCATCAGGTATCAGAGCTCCTCTTACTCTGGATTCTGATTTTGAATATTCTGGTGAAAAGAACAGTGATATTAGTTCTAGTAGTGGTAGTGAGTATGAGTCAGAGGGTTTTATGAGTGGGGAGGATGAGTTTGAAACAGCCTCAGAGAGGCCTTTTGCGGCAGACCCAGATAACGAAACTTTCGAAGAGACTCACTATGTTGAGGAATATGTTGTTTCTAAGCCTTTTGTGACTGAACCAGATGAAGAAACCATAGAAGGGAGTAGTGTTGTTGCAGAATATGTTTTTCCTAATGTTTCTGAGATAGACCCAGATGAAGAAATGATAGAGGAGAGGGGTCATGTTGTCAAATATGGTGCTTCTAGGCCTTTTGTGGTTGACTCTGATAAAGAAACCTTAGGGGCACCCATGGAAGAGGAGGATGCATATGCCTCTGGTGTTGAACCACAAGTTGTGGATATTGCGGTTTTATTGCCGTCAAAGCCAGCTATGCCTATTGCCCAGTTGTCAGGGGACAGTGATGATGATTCGTTGGGCAGTGAGGTTCCGGAAGATGATGGATTTTCCGGTGCCATCAGGGTTCCAGATACTGGGTTTTCTGAGGTGATTTATAGTGCTCCTAAAGTTAAGGTATTGGGGATTGAAGAAGGAGAGGAAGAAGATTCACAGGTTGAGACGCTGTTAGATACAGAAATTGTTGAGGACTCGATTTTGGGTGAAGTTGTAAATGGGGATTTGGGTTCTGATGAAGAAGAGGGTATTGTCGGGAAGGACACTGTTAAGGAATCTAATTTAGCTGAAATTATTGGAGATGCGGGTTCTGAGGTTACTGAAGAAGCAAAAGCCGAGTCTTTTATGGCAAGTAAAGAATACGTTTCTTTGGAAAATTGGAAATTGGATGGGAATGATGAACATATAGAACAACAGAGTGAATCAAATGGGATATGTATACAGAAGAGAAACGATGTGAATATGGGTGATGATGCTGATTTAAAATCTGATTCGACAACCCATATGGTGATTGACAATGAAGAAGAAAATGAAGTCGTGGAATATAGGGTTGTTACAGCTTGTAATATCTCTGGATTAAGTTCTGGGATTGAGTATCCTGTTGACTCTAAGCCTAATGAAGCCAATAAGGGTTTTGGCTCGGCTAACAAAGCTGATGTAGTTCATGATGAAAACAATGGCCCAAATTTGATAGGCTTGGAAGCACATGTTGAGGATGGAGTTGATATGAAGGTTTCATCCATCAGAGAGGTAGAAGTTCTTGGGAAAAGTACAGATGGTTCTGATATCACAAGTAATGTAGCTGAAGAATCTGCGAAGTTGAATTTGCTTGGAGCTGATGATGCTGTTACCCAAATATTGGAAAGGAGCCTTCTTCCTGAGTCTGGCGAATCAAAACTGCCTGTAGAAATACCAAATACAGCATCTACCAAATTTCCAGAACCAGACCCTTTTCAAGAGAGAAAATATATAGGGAATTGTCATTTACCAGAAGCTACTGATGGTGGTGTAATGGAAGATGGGCTGCTTGGTAACTGCGAAATCCTTGAACCCATATCACCTGGTTCTTGTTTGGACCCTGATTTGATAGTGAAAACCACAGATGAATCAGGCTACAATCCAGAAAAACTAGAAGAGGATGAAGAAGGTTCAGTCTCAGATGATGAAACTGAAGATTTGGTCTTTGGAGTTTCAGAAACATCGAAGCAAATGACAGGTGAATTGAGGCAACAATTAGGCCTCAATTCTTTTTCAGGTGAAGAGAGTTCTCCAGATCATTCACAGAGGATTGATGGACAGATTGTGCCAGACTCCGATGGGGAGGTGGACACAGATGAAGAAATTGAAGGAAAGGAGATTTTTGATTCAGCAGCTTTAGCTGCTCTTTTGAAAGCTGCAGCAGGTGCTGGATCAGATGGCGGTGGCGTTACTTTCACATCTGCTGATCGTCCCAGATTTGTTTCTCTCGAGCGTCCTGCTGGATCAAGCTCCACATTCCGCTCTCTACGACCTACTCCCAAACTGGACCATATAAATCATTTTAACCCTTTAGAGTTTACAAGTAGGGGTGAATCTGAGGAAACACTAAATGAAGAAGAAAAGCAGCAGCTTGAGAGGATACAACAGATAAGAGTGAAGTTTCTGAGGCTTGTCCGGAGATTAGGCAGGTCTCCTGCAGATTCGGTAGCTGCACAGGTTTTATACCGGCTTGTCCTTGCTGCAGGGAGGCCTTCCAGTCAAGCATTCAGCCTAGAATCTGCCAAAAGGGCAGCCATGGAGCTTGAAGCAGAAAAAAAGAATGATTTAAACTTTTCCTTGAACATCTTGGTTATTGGGAAATCTGGGGTTGGTAAGAGTGCAACCATAAATTCCATTTTTGGTGAAGAGAAAGCAATGATTAATGCATTTGAACCAGCCACAGTTGCAGTGAAGGAGATTGTTGGAACAATAGATGGAGTCAAAGTTAGGGTCTTGGACACGCCTGGTCTAAGATCTTCTCTTACTGACCAATCTCTTAACTGGAAAATTTTGTCATCTATAAAGAAACTCACAAAAAATTGCCCTCCAGATGTTGTCCTTTATGTTGATCGGGTAGACTCACAAAGCAGAGACCTTAATGATTTGCCATTATTAAAGTCAGTAACTAGTTCTCTTGGTTCTTCTATATGGCGTAATGCCATTGTTACTCTGACACATGCAGCTTCTAGTCCCCCGGATGGACCATCTGGTACCCCCTTAAGCTATGAGTTGTTTGTGGCTCAACGATCACGTGTTGTTCAACAGTTGATTAGCCATGCAGTTGGTGATCTGCAGATGAATTCAGGTCTGATGAATCCAGTTTCTCTGGTTGAAAATCACCCGTCGTGTGAAATAAATGGAAATGGAGAACTAGTGCTCCCCAATGGAGAAAGTTGGAGGACCCAACTACTGCTCCTGTGCTACTCAATGAAGATCTTATCTGAAGCAAATTCACTGATAAAACCTCAGGATCTTTTTGATCATAAGAAGCTCTTTGGATTCCGGGTTCACTCACCTCCTCTTCCCTACTTCTTGTCTTCTCTATTGCAGTCTTATGCTCATCCGAAACTACCCACTCTTCAAGGTGGTGAGACTGTAGACTCTGACCTTGAGTTGGAACAGTTGTCTGATTTTGAGCAAGAAGATGAAGATGAGTATGATCAACTCCCACCATTCAAGCCATTAAGGAAATCTCAGATTGCTAAACTCACCAAGGAGCAAAAGAGGGCTTATTTTGAAGAGTATGATTACCGCATTAAGCTGCATCGGAAGAAACAGTGGAGGGACGAGGTGAAAAGGTTTAGGGATATGAAGAAAGGCAACAATGGTGGGAACTATGATGGTTACATGGAGGAAGATGGAGACCAGGAAAATGGGAGTCCAGCAGCTGTAGAAGTTCCCTTACCTGACATGACACTCCCACAGTCATTTGACGGAGACAATCCTGCTTACAGATACCGGTTTCTGGAAGCCACCTCACAGTTTCTTGCCAGGCCAGTTTTGGATGCACATGGCTGGGACCATGATTGTGGATATGATGGTGTGAGCCTGGAAGAAAATCTTGCTATCGCTAACCGATTTCCAGCGGTAATAGCTGTTCAAATCACAAAGGATAAAAAAGACTTCAATATTCACTTGGATTCCTCTGTTTCAGCCAAGCATGGAGAGTGTGGATCGACCATTGCAGGACTCGATATCCAAACCATTGGAAAGCAGCTTGCTTACATTCTCAAGGGTGAAACCAAAATAAAGAATTTCAAAATTAATAAAACAGCTGCTGGGGTATCTGTCACTTTCTTAGGCGAAAATGTGGTCAGTGGACTCAAACTCGAGGACCAGATTGCAGTGGGAAAACAATTGGTTCTTGTGGGAAGTACTGGAGCCATTCAATCTCAAGGTGATGCAGCATATGGAGCCAACTTGGAAGTACGTCTCCGGGAGAAGGATTTTCCTATTGGGCAAGACCAAACCACACTGGGGCTATCTCTGATGAGGTGGAGAGGTGACCTTATATGGGGGTGCAATATGCAGTCTCAGTTGTCAATAGGAAGGAGTTCTAAAATTGCTTTTCGTGCTGGATTGAACAACAAACTAAGTGGACAGATCTCTATTAGGACTGGTAGCTCAGATCAACTCCAAATTGCTTTGGTGGGTCTTCTTCCAATTGCCAAAACCATCTTCCAGAGCATCTTTCCACAATAGAGCCAAAAATAATAGACATTCAAGGTGATGTTTCAAGTTATGCCAGCAATTATCTTGTTTTGAGGAGTAAATGTTCAGCATAGGCTAGCCACCATCTGCACATTCTTGCTGACTGTCAGTTTTCCCTCCATAAATGGTGATGCTTTCTTGTTCTTTTCTAGTTTATCTCATGATTCGTAACGTATATAAATATGAGAAACAAACTTGACATGCTTATTCCATGAGTTTTGGTTCAAATGTTCACTTGGCACTTCTGTAACGAGTTTGTGGTGCTGGATGGAAAAATTCACAATGACCAACTGAAACTTGCATTTGATCCTTGCCATCAAGTACAATGTTAAACCGGCTCACTCATCTTTGGAGCAAATTTTTGTTGGCTAAAACCTTACTATATATGCGTGTTGTGCTGCAGTAGATAGTTGTATTTCATACAATCTTGACTGCAATATCTACAGAACTCTCCTAATACAGCTTTTAATGGAGTCTGGAGTCTTCATAACCCATGTATGGACCTTTGAATTTGCCGGGTTGAATGAGTTTGATTCAAATACTACACTAAGTTGGATGAGCTTGCTTCTTTTTATGGTTTTTTTTTTTTTTTTTTTCTGTTAAGCTTTTTCTTGTAGATGCTCTATTGAACTAGTATGATCTTTGGATCTGCATCCCTAATATTTAGGGCTTGTTAATGATGAACCGATTGATAGGACAAATAATTGAGCCGGGTCATAGCTCGATTAGAACTCGACTCGAACTTGGCTCGTACAATTTTTTAAACTCGTTTCAAAAACGAGCCTAAAAGCTCGCCTTGAGTTGGCAAAAGTTCGGTTTTTTGAAATGTAAAATTGGCAAACTATTGAACAATTTTTTAAGCTTGTTTTTCTAAACGAGCTCGATAAGCTTGATTCGATTTTCAGCCTTACTCATTGAGCATCATAGAGTGAAGAATTGGAAGCAGGGTGAAAGTAAAGTTATTTATCCCCAGAGTGAATGCAATTGGTCACCCAGATGATATGGGTCATCGATAGAGTTAGAGGAGGTAATTGATTTCCAGTTCCCATATAAGTACAGGGGAAGCAGAGAATTCATACTTCAGTTGGCCAGTACATCATAAAACTCAGATAACAGCAATGATTTTCCTCACAATTCCCAAGGTTCGAATAGGAGTGTAATTTTGAGACTACTTATCGAGACCATTGTCGGCACCAACCTACTTACACCATCACAACCACCTCCTTCACCCATCCTCACCACACCCTGCACCCAACCTGCCGCCATCATCACTACCTCTATCTCTACCACAACCATCACCTCCTTACAACCATCATCTCCCACTACCACCAAATCACCGTCATACCACTTCATTGCCTCCACCACCACAACTCAATGTGACCACCAACACACCCTATCATGAGGGGAAGAGAAAGGTGATGGTGGAAAAGTAACACTGAAAGGGTAGAGAAAAAAGATAACATTGAAAAATAGTAGTTTTCAACTTCAATTCCTTGAACTGATCAAACAATTTTGAATCAATTCGGTGCTTAAACTTCAATATGTACCAAACAAGTTTATATTAAAAAATTCAACTTTCAGTTTTCACTAATGAATTTTCAATTTTATCAAACAACCTAATTTCACAACTGATTTGAATTTGAGTACACAATTACTTTGAAAACGAGGGGGCATTCTACCAAAAATCCCAATCGCTAAAAAAAAAAAACCCAGATTTTGAATAAAAATTGATTAGTTAATTATTAGGTTAAATTTGGGAGACATTTTACACGATCGAGCGAGGCGACCATTCAAACAATAAACCGTTCAATCATACTGATATACTTTACAGGCAAATCAGTAGCACTGGAGGCAAAGGGCTGCTTGAGGACTGAGCACTGAAAAATCTAGTGCTTTAGCCTAGCCAAGCATTTTAATGTTACAAACATGGGAGATCAAGGCATACTACCTAGTGTATCTCCGGAAGTCAAATATATAACTTATAGACTCATCAAACCTCAGCACCTGAATTCTGCGATTGTTGTTGCAGCAGATCAGATACCTCTTCATCCTGGGATTGTATCGGGATATCCTGTCACGAGGTAAACCAGGTAATGCCTCTGAATAACAAGATAATTATTGGAACAAAGCAGATAAAGCCCAAAAGAACAAAAACAAAGAAAAACACCGCACAAAAACCTAAATAACTTCCTCTCCTAGCCCTTTTGACGTCCATCTTAATATAAAGCCCAAAAGGCCGCACAATTAAGTATAATCTTTACGATAATTGTACTGAGTGAGAGCTAGTTACATGGATATGGACCACCAGAAACCAAATTTGTAAACCCAGTAATGTTTGCAATGAAATATAAGGATTGACAAATAGATATAACACATCAACCATAGACATTGTTCCTTGGTCCAACACCATCCAGTGAAAGACATCTAATTTTCCAACCTTTCAGCAAAAGAAAAATGGCTTGGTGAACCATCGACAAAAGTTAGTCCATGGTGGTTAATGTACACATGATATCAGTTCTACTATATGGTATCTGCAAACATTTCAGGTGTGGATAGTATATAGGTCTGATTCAGATCCCTCTAACCTCGACTAGCAGGTGAGAAAAATTGCCGGCCAATATGCATGATTTTTATTTAAATATATCATGCCACACAAGAAGCAACCTATGGGGCATTTAATCTTCAGAATCTTTCTGTTGAACATCTGAGAAGATACTAATACAAGTAATGCCCAACTGATTTTTCACTTTTTATTGGGTGAGTGGGAAGGGAGAGGTAAATAAAAACTTTTGCACAAATGTTACTAGCAAAATTTGGGTGCAACATTACCACTGAGAGAAAGGAAAGCTAAGGTGTCTAGAAAGCACCAAAAAAAAAAAAAAAATTTTTAAAAAAGCCAAGACTGATATGAAGTGATTCAGAAACTATTATCCTGATAACATTATGCTTTCACAAAGATCAGAAGAATTCCCCCTTTCCATTTCTTCAATGTAATCTGAAAATGCAACTTCCCAACATTTCTAATTTTAAAGTTGGAAAGAGGTTGATGAAACAACTTCCGCCAATTGACTCTTACAGATCCCCAACTACATCCCTATGGAAGATATAACCACAAGAAGATTACAGCCACATGAAAATCACGCCTAAGATGTCATCTTTCCATTAAAAAAAAGGCATATTTGAGCAGAGGCTAAAATGAAAATACCACTTGTGATTGCCATCTTATAACTGAAAAAAATGTGTGAATCATTATACTTTTATAACATGCTTGCAGGATTAGTCCATACCTGTGTCTGTAATAGCTGATTTGGCTGCTGATCTTGGGCCGAATAGGCTTGTGGTTGAGACATTCGATAATAGGGCTCTTTGAGATCAAGTTTGCCAGATGAAGTTTGGAGTATCCCTCCTTGTTCGGCACCAGGGCCCCACATTTTAACTGTTCAAGGGGATTCACAATATGTTCGACTCTTAAGGAAACATATCAGCAAGAAAAATGAGAAAGACCAACCTGACAGTGTTAGATAAATAGTATAACTCTGAGCATTGTGTGCAACCATGCGAAGTTGTCCAGTTATTTCTTGCCCCGGCATAACATAAAGTGGCTGAGACAGAACACAACGTAATTGGTACCAGTGGGTTGTAGGTGCACCAGGAGCAGTGGTCAGCCACCTTGGTACAGTACTGACGACGAAAGAAATGAGATTAGTGAGAACACAGAATGCTAATAAGAATTCCAAGAAGTATGAACAATGCAAGACCATAACAAACACAAAGCATCAGCATGAAAATATTACCTTCCATTAAACAGTACATCAAACCAGCAAGCCAACCCATGAATTCTAGTCCCCACAGAAGCTATAAATTTCAGAGGAATGTCAATTTCATACAAGTCTTCTTCCTGCCAAAATTATCAAATTGCTATAACTTCTAGTGCTCAGGGGCTATAAATATCAAAGGAAGGTCAATTTCATAGAATTCCTCTTCATCAACTTAACTCATATAAGCCTTTATCCAAACTATTTAGAGTGGCTACGTGAATCCTGTTTCTCCATTGTGCTCTATCAAAAATCCAATTTTCCAGTAAACCACGAACTATCATATCATTTTTATTATTGTGTTCATTTATTTTCAGCCTGTGTTTATCAACAATAATTCAACATAAATGGCTTTCTATCATATGAAAAAAATGTCCAACCAAACAAGGATAACCTATGGCTACAAATAAAAGTTCCATAAAAACAAACAAGAACATACTATACTTTCAGAGGAAGAACAACTTCTTTAATCACTTCCCCATAGAGTAAAAGGCAGGCTACGACTACCCACAAAGCCTAAACCATTATAGTCAATAGTGTGCACAAAACAGTAAAACATCCTGGCAAAGAATCGAAATTCTGGCAACAGAGAAAGATATTTATCTGAAAGATCACCTGAGATTAGTGGCCTTTAATGGAATAAATCATTGTCTCATGTAAACAAAAGTTGCACTTTGCAAGCAGAAAGAGAAAAAAGTATAGTGGTTAGCAAGCATTAAATGTAGTAAAAAGAGTTAATACCTTTATAGAAGTGAAGTTCATCAAGTGGGATATTGCGGGAGACACCAAAAACCTGGGATCAAAAGCATCAACCACCGGCTGTACAAAAATAAAGCAAATAGTTGGAAAGAGGAACAAACGAATGGCGAGTACATAAAAACACAATCCTCCCCCCCCCCCCCCCCCCCACAAAAAAAAAAACAAAGAAAAAAAAAACTTGAACAGCCAATATGACAGGCGGAGGCATTCACAAAAATGAATGGCATATTTTAGTCCCAATAGCCAGTTACCAATCTTTTCCATCCAGCAATATCAGAAGTGGTAGCACCAAAAAGCTCCATCAAAATTCTCCTTGGTACCCCACCCCGAATCACCATTTAAAACCAACCCCTTTTCAATGCAGCAGCTTTTATTTTTGATAGACAAGTCATGAAATATACTGTCCAGTAAGTCAAAACAAGATCCAACCCAAGACATCTTTTATTTATCATTGCAAATTAACATCCATGTCATCCTTGATGCAATGACTCGGGTGTGTAACAGTTTTCTCAGCGTAAACAGTTTTAAACATGAGAGGATGCATTCATTATATTCTTCACTATTAAAGATTACCAATTTCTACCTAAATGTACCAGATTTTCATGCTTCTAAAACCTAATCACCAACAACAGAAAATATGAAATATATGCAGAAGGCAATCAGCTTTGAAATTCCAGTTATGATGCATGATTAAGACACTCTGGAAAAACTGAAAAAGGTACGAGACCTGAGACCTAATAAAAGCTTCACAATAAGTTTAAGAGTCTAGATCAAATACAGAACAAGACTTAAAAAATCCACAATGCAGTCATATACTTCCAAAGATATTTGAAAATTTCCAAGAGAGACCTGAGAAAAGTATCCTTGAAATGCAGAACCATGCAAGGGCGTCAAATCAACCCCATAATAATTTTGTTGCTGCCAAAAGAGGGCCTGGATGACAAGAAATAATAACAATTTAGACTTCACTGGTTAAGAAACCTGCTTCTGACAAATATTATATTAAGAGAGACATAATCATGGCCCTCCGGCAAAGATCCAAACTGAACATAAGTTTGGATGCATATGTAGACACAAGTAACCCTGTCAATAAATCGGATTTGGTTCGGATTTCATCTAATCCAGACAAAATATCCAATTCAAAAACCGGATGGATTTTGTTTTCACAATCCATATCTAAATTTGTTAAAAAATTAGATATCCAATCTGAACAAATCAACTAAGCTGAATTTTAAAAAACTACATTTACATTGCAACTCCATTTAATCAAATAATCACGTGCTACATCTATATAGCTATAACTCGGGTTGGATAAAAAACAGATAGAATATTGCTACATTCAAGTCCAAATCCATGAAATATAATATAAATGATGCACATTTGTATTCGAATAATCAAACATCAAATTCTTAGACTTAAGTGACCACAAAGAATTCTAATTTTGAGCACACTACTCATAATTTTGCTGAACAAGAAACTAATTTTGGGTTGAATAGAAAATTATCAAAAACGGTGCATAGTTACCTGCCTGTAGAATTAAAGAGAGTTCCTTACCCAATATTTACCATAAGTTTACGGAATTTTAGATGCCAACCTAAATTCAAAATTTTCTAAAGTTCTCTCGTATTTACTTGGTAATCTTCTGATAAACAACTTAGACAGTATACAAAACTCAAATACATCTTTTACTCCAAAATAATAAATTTATACATAGACATGAAAATAAGAACAATCAAGTGAGCCCAGAAGTTCATAATTGATTTGTTTGTTTTAGTAAAGTGGAACATACAACACAACCAAACTACAGATGTGTGTAGCATTTGACTCATGCATTGTATAGCGAAGATTCTAAGAGAGGAAAATTAAAGTGCAACAAAAATACCCAATATTCCAGAGACAACTTCATCAAAATAATCACAATTCTTCTATATCAAAATAAAACAAAACCCCATCCACCCACCACAACAGAGAAAAAGGAAAAAGGAAAAGGAAAAAATAAGAAAAAGAAAAAGAAAAACATGCAACAACAGAAATAAAACAACAAATCAAAGTGCATACCTTATTTGCGATTTCAATATATAAATATTCGTCACTGAAAGGTGCCATGTGTATTCTACAAGAGAAAACAGCTTTAAAACGCTAGAAGAGGGGGGGGGATGACAAATACACCACACATAGAGGAACTACAGTATGTAGGTGCGGCACACTCAAAAGAGATGCACTAAATAATTTTGCCATGAAGCAAAAAATGTGATAGAAATGCAAGTTCAGACATAAAAAATAATCATGTGGAAAAATCAAAGGAATTCTTATGGCTTCAGATGGCTGTGATATGGTGGAGATACATAAGACATGTTCCATTGCATCATAGAGATACAAAAGGGCATTAGATGTATTAGACGGAAAAGATTAATGCATGCTCACAAAGATCACTTGGTAAATGCAAGCAAGAATTATTAGATTGTATAAAATGTCAGAGAACATTCTGAAAAACAAAACAAATACAAGACATTAAATGTAGGTGTCGTTTCAAGTTTTCAATTCCACCGACTTACTTCAAAAATGAGAAACCATTTTTTCATGATGTCAAACAAGGTAATCTAACGCAGGACCATGGCTGTTTTAGTAATATTAGGAATGATTGAAGTCCTAAGATGTCCCTTAAACTATTGGGAAAGGAGGAAAAGGATTTCAGGAAAAACAAAACCTCCCCACTGTAGGAAACATTTTTCCATTAGGAACAAGGAAACGATCTCTTGCAATTACATAGGATTCCAGCATTCTTTCATTGACTAACAAGGTGCCTGAAAAAAGTAAAATGTGCTCGATAAGATTTGATTTGTTGCACAATAACAAATTAAATATTTGATTAGTCACAAAAGTAACTGCAACCTGGACTATTGCTTGTAGTAGAGATGCCAGGATGGAAGAGGATAGAACTCATTAACCATGACATACAAAATACAGGCAGAAAAACTAACATTGAGGACATTCTTGCCTCACCATATAAAGCAATGACAAAATTGGCTAAAAAATATGTAAGCGTTAAAGAGCAAGGGGAGAAGAGGAAATGGCATACCATGTGAGCCTACAAAAACAATACACTCAAGGGACTATTCTTAGATTCCCACAGTAAAGATGCATTAAGTAAAGTAACAGTAGCATTAGTCACAATTCAGTACACACATCCCATGTATTTGCATCTAAAACTGTTTTGTTAAAAAAACGATATTTAAAAAAAAATAAAAATAAAGCAGAATAGGACACTACAAGTCCTCAACATGGATAGTCCTCAATGCCAGGTACTTAAAACCATTGCCTACTTTAAATCCATCTGGCTGGAAGCATGCATACACACTAATATTTCAAGCCTTACAAAACTAATTGCCAGTCCAGATAGGAGTTCAGAATGAGAAGATAAGCTTACCCATTGGCTCAGATATCAAAATATCTGCTTTTTCAGGCAACTCGACTTCTTCGACTTTACCCTTGATTACCTATATGTCCGATGACAAAGTGCCCAGAGAAAATGGAATAGTATTCAAGCGAACAACATTTGCAAAGACATTCAATTGCAAGCAAACAAGAATACCCACCGTAATTCTTTGACCCAGCGAGGGGTTCCCAGCAATAAGTTTACGTGCATATTCGGCCATTTCAGATGCTTCCACAGCATAAACATGTTTTGCACCAGCCTAAAATACACAGTACACACCGTGAAGATATTTTTGTGTTGTATGTTTCAATGCACAAGCACAGGAAACCGATGTGGTGGCACGCAGTTTAAATAACTATGTTGAACATTAAAGGAACCTGAGCAGCAAATAATGACAAAATGCCACTGCCAGCACCAACATCAACTACCACACGACCAATAAAATCCGCACGGTTTTCAATGACAGCAGCATAATAAGTTCCTGAAAAACGCACAATTAGCATGTCATTTATTCACTTTGAAAATATGTAAATGCTCACAACATATATCATTTGCTTGACAATTTGGAGTAAGGCAAAAAAGTTTGTTGGCATGCAATACTTTTCTGCAGCACAGGGAGGGTATATGATCCTTGAACAAAGAATTTGGCATAGTAGGGGAATGTGAGTGTAGTTTTCGAAAAGAAAAGGAAAGGAAACCAAAGTGAATGCCAAAAAGAGAGGGGAGGGAAGTAACAAATTACAGCTCAGTGATATAACCTGTCCTCACATAATCTTGTAACATATTTTGCTGATGTAGCAGTTGCCCGTAGTAATGGAAATACATCTTGGCAGAAGATGCCTCTATTTTATCATCAAATTTGCTCTTAGAAGTCAATAGAGCTCCATTCGGTAAATGTGATCCTGGAAAGAGAGACAATAATGCATTAGGTTCCTTGCCACATCAAGCTGCTTTCAATTCATAATTTTGACATGAGCATGTTATTGCATATAGGTTGCAAATATCTCGAAAAATTCTAAACTCAAGTGAGTCACAATTTTATGCAAAAATGTTAAATATATGTAGTTGTACATGTGATTTGAAACAGACCTCCACTTTATTAGAGTTTCTAGCAATCATTATTTGCATAGAGTAAAAGCAAAACACGAAGAGCCTTGAATGACCAACCCAGATGTATAAATGCAAGTCAAGGTCAATCATAAACAGAAAAAGGGGAAGTATGAAGAACTGTCACGAAAAAAGAAAAATATTTGTGTTTGACAAGCAATCATATGAGACAAACCAATGAGTTTTCTCTGAAAAATTAGAAAAAAGATATATCAAAGCAGCACCTTGAACAACCACTTCCTTCTGCCATTGCTCAAATGCACAATGAAAGGCTCTACTCTCGGCCTCCGTTCGAAATCGAATGGTGATTCCCCTTGAATAGGTTTTCTGGTTCAAAAGATAAAATATCAACCCATATGGACTAGACAGGCATAACACCAATTTTAAAATCATAATGCTGAGGAAAAGGTAAATAGAATCATCTTTTCCACTGACAACTTTAGCGATAGTCCTTGAAAGTATAATTAGATAATTGCATATATAATAATTTTATTTCATCTATCGAGTCAACAACTTTTTTTACCAGAACCTCAGGTGCACCAGATTCAAATTCTCGGAAAAGTTAACAACCAGAATAAAGTGAAGCAAGGCCAATTTCCTTATGATCAACAAGAAAATTAACACCCATTGGTAAAAATTGAAAGCCATACCTCTTTGCTGGTATCAAAACCTTCAGATATGCATACCGAGTGAGCAGGACCTAACTTGAAAAGCTGAAAAACCAAAAATGGATTAATATACAAGCATAGCAGCAAACAAATCCATCCTCTTTTTAGATTCATACATTTCTAGGAGTTTCAAACCACACATTGTAGGACGTCTTCCTTTTTTTTTTTTTTGTTGGTGGTGGGGGGGGGGGGGGGGGGGGGATTTTTGGGAAGCCCCTAGGTATGTGTAAGGGCCTACCCTTTAGCATAGGCTTCCTGAAAGTTTGAAGAACTTTGGTCAATGGCCCTTCAAAAAAAAGTGATGCACATGTCCCATCCAAGTCTTGGGCATTAAAATTACAACCTCACCTAGTCGTTCAACAAGCTATAAATTATAGGAGTAACCACTTGCCATGTGTATACCACTTGTTAGGTTTAACTTGCTGTTTGCCATTTATGCCTATGTAAACTAATGAGCTTTGTATAACATTCTTAGTCAACATTATGATCAATTGCATGACATAGTTTTACAACATAGAACCAAAATGATATCAATGATACAATATACGGTGAAAAAGGAGGAAACTGAGCAAATGTTTGGTTCAGTCTTACTTGTCTCAGAGTTCAAGTTTCAGCCTGTCCCTGCCTGCATCCATCAGTCTTTATGTTGTATTTACCAATATCTCTTGTTCAATCAGGTCCTTTCTTTACAGTTTTCTTTTTAGACGGACTTTCTAGCTTTTCTTCTAGTAAGATTTGTTTTATCTAAACCTTTGCTCTTTATCCTTTTTTTTTTTTGGAAATTTTTTTATCTTTATCCGTTGAAGTCACACATACGCTGAAATTTGATTATATAAATTGCTCTCATGGGGATTTGGGGTTCATCAACTGTGGATCCTTACAATATAGATCTAAGAAGCACAGATACTTTGTTAAGGTCGACGTATCCGTATCGGATACGATACTTGTAAGATACTCAAAGATACGTATCAAATACACACCAAATGTATCCAATAATAAATAAAGTTCACTTGTAGATGTATCATAGTAAACAATGGGTAACTTTTTCAAAATAAAAACTTGTTAATATTGTTTATTATTGTTAAAAAATCAATAAAAATTATAAACATCAAGTCATTACATAATAGTAAAAATATAAATATATATTTATAGACGTATCTCAGCTGTATCCTAATCCTATTTTATCGTACCCTTATCTCGTATCCGTATCCGTACTTCCTAGATACACATTGACCAATATATTTTTCATATTTTGTACATCTGAACCCAATATATAAAATGCTTCATATTGCTGGTTAAATTTTCTTTAGTTCATGTTTTGCCACCCACCCACCCACCCCTAAAGGTGAACTGGCGGCGCCTCAGATTGTCCTGAATTATCATAAAAATATCGCTTAATTGATGCTTAACTTTAAAAAATATTTATCTGCAGCCTGCACTCACCCCTCTGTTTGGTTGCCAAGAAATACAGGAAAACTACAAAATTCTAAATTTTATTTATTTTTTTTTTTTACCTTCCTTATATGCAGAAACAACACCACCACCAAAAAAAACTGGTTATAACTACTAGGCTCAGTCAAGTCGTATCCAAAACAAATTTATAGAAACGATGCCTAAAATCTTCTAGCAAAACACAGTGAAATCAAACGCTCTAAAGAAAATATTAACCTGAGCAGTTCGAAGATCGAAGTTACTATCATCATTCGGCCCAGATTCTTGGCCCAATCGAAGCTCTGCGAATCCAGAATCGAAGCAGAACCGAGCAACAACAGGCGAAGACATATCCGTTGAAAACGACGTCGAGAGCTCAGAAACAGAGACCAAAGTGAACTCTTGCTGTTTGCTCTTCTGCCCTACTGGAACCTCCATTATCACTCTCTCAAGCTCAGACTAAGATTCAAATACTCTTATTTACTATTCAAATACTGTATACAAATAGAGAATTAGGGTTTCTGTGGAGAGAGAAAAGCTCGAAATCGAAGTATTTATAGAGCCGCAATCGCTCTTGTCGTATATAAAGAGAGTGAGGGGGACAGAAAGAGAGGCGTAGGCGTAAGCCAATAGAAGCAAGTTGTGCTCGCCTTGCTGATTTTCTTCGATGATTCGGTGTTGTTGCTTAAATGTGGTATATGGTACAACTGGTGACGTGTCAAGTTTTAGGACGTTGAATTGACTTTATGTGGGACCAGGGAGGGGAACTGGGACTGATTTATTTTATTGTGGGTCCAAAAGGTGTTGTTTGCGTCCGGCTCCTTTGCTGTAGCAGATGCTGTTGATCAAAACCACGAGGGTTAAATTACATTTACTTGAACTATCATTTTTTCATTGTGTCCCTTAAACTATTAAATTTTTGACATTGTACCTTAAACTAACACTACATTGCCCCAATCACAAATTTCTGTTACTTTTTTTTTATGAAAATCGCTAACATGTCTGAGTAAAGTAAAAAAAATTACATAATTTGAGGAAAAATAAAATAAATTTTCGTTAAATATATAATACACGTTAATAATTAATGAGTCTTTGGTCTAATAGTACTTCTTACCTTGTGAAATTTTTATCTTCTTAAGGTCAAGAATTTAAGCTTCATTTCCCCTCCCCCTCCCCAAAAAAAAAAATATATACATATATATATATATATAATGTAATACACGTTAATAATTAGGATAGTATGAAATTAATTACAAAGTTGATGGTACAATATGAGAAATGTGATAAGTTGAGAGGGCAAAGTAAAATAAAATAATAATTTAATAGGTGTAAATGTAATTTAGATGCTGTTAATTTTCTAGTGACAGAGAATCTCACCCGTTGATTTGGATCTAGAGAATATGAGCAAAAATTGCATTTCTTTTTGTGATTTTTATGTTGGAATGGGAATTCCATGGTTTATTTAGAAGCATCCAAATTATCATCAATCATCAAAATTGACTTGAGCTGAAAAAAAAAAATTCTCATCATTGTTATGAGATTTTTAAACCATTCTGAACTTCATTGAAATCAATTCCAATTATAAAAATATAAACTCGAAATTAATTTTGACTCTTTTAATTCAATTACGAAAGGTATTTTTTTTTTTTTTTTGTGATATTAATCATATTTGATTATCAAGGCAAAGCTACATTGGTTAGGCTCTTGATAATCAATGGCTAAGCCTTTGGATTACAGTGTCGATAGAAAGAATTCCAGTGGTTAAAAAATTAAAATGTAAGTAATAAGATAAACAGTTAAATTTAAATAATCTGGACCGTTGTTATGTTTTTTTAAGTCAAGAATTTAAATAAGACATTCTATTTTACTAATATAGATCATCCACCCACAAGATGAAGATGAAATACCATGACAATCTCATTCATGAAGGAAACAAATTCCTAGTAGAAATAGCACAAAAAATGAAGTATTATGGGAATGAAGATCTCATACCAAACTGAAATAGTAATAGTAATGCAATGAAAATTCATTTCAAACGGAAAAGGGCTTTTGATTCTAGCATGTGAGTATCCAAATCTTCTGAAGTCAGGAAACAGGTGCAGTATGGTTCTCATGCTGATCACAGAAGAAGATATTCATCAAGATTATAAGTCAGTACAAATCATCTCCAGCCATTACTAATTGCCAATGGATATAGTAAAAAACATAAATGCTCCCTTTGATTGTCAAATTGAACTAACAGTCAATAATAACCCAAATATACATTTGAAAGAGGATTACAGGCTGCAACCTCAAAATACAAATATTAGTCACTGAAATGCCTAGCAAAGGATGAACTTCCGTAGCATTGCATAACATCAATGTCAGAAAGCGAAAACCTTAACGATCTCATAAAAAATCTTCAAGTTCCAAAAGTACGAGGCTACTGCGTTTTGCTTCTTTTGAATGTAACCTAAAATGAACGAGTTGGCTGATTGAATCCCATATATATAAGAGCAACCACAAAATACCAAGTTAGCCTGCTGCCATTTTACGTTCATCCCATGACAGCAACTTTAGAGGTTATGGATGTCACATATCATTTCAGTACATCAAAAACCTAGTTCAATTGATGCAAAACCCACATCCAGAGTCAGGCAATGTATACCAAAACATCATTGTACAACCAAACTGTTCCATCCGGGGCAACCTAAGACATTAATGACTTATCCCCCCAAGAAACACCTAATACACTAATTAGACATGAACTGAAGCTTTCTGCATTTCATGATTACAGCAATCCTGAATTTATACCTGATTCGGGTTGTTTGTCAATTAAGCAGCATGATTAAAAGGGACAGTCTGAAAAAATGCAATTGAGAGGACCACATTAGCATGCATGAGCAATGGAAACTCCAAGCAAGTGCCCATCACATACGAACAATAAACAAAATAGCTGGTTTCAGAAGTTCAGACCCGCATTTCTACAAACCTGAACCGCTAAATGAAATACACCACTACATAAAATAGCACTATCAACAGAGCACAAAATCTATCATGGCAGAACATCAACAGGTGTTTACCAAATATTAGAAGACCGAAGAGCATAGCCAGTTACAATCACACATTGAATTAAAAGCCACGATTGTCAGAGAAAGCAACCTTAAATCTCATCTATCACCTCATTAACCACTTTAATGATGGGATTCATATCTGCTGCTCTATAAAAGTTATTACTGTAATAAATCATCCACATTAAAGTGAAAGTGAAAGGATCAGAAATGAGAGATGTTGAATCCCAGCACCCAAATGAGGTTATGAGCAGCAAGCCAAAGAGATTCAATAGTTTCCCTTATCATATTCTGACTCTTCCCGGATGACTCAGATTAGGCTGTTTTCCAGTTACCTCGCCTATTCTAAGCTTAAACAAACAAATAAGCAAACTCTCTATCAAGGCTCTGTAGGAATAAGACGTTTGATTCAACTTTGAAAATTAAGCAACCATTACTGGTTCAATATCCTTTTCATTGCTGTTTCTCGCTACCCCAAGAAAGCAGCCAGCCATGAAATCTCATGATTCAACCCTTACATAACATCACCTTGAGGATATAGTCCACTGTTAATTTAAGTGTTACTACACAATCATTTCAGGCCCTTTGCTGCATTTTATGTCTCAGTAGCATCTTCAAGACGCACATACTACAAGTGGGAAAGATTGAATTTAATTGTATCTCTCGTTTCTTATATTGGGTGCTAGTTGTGTTACTCTCCCAATTTGAATGAGAACATCCTTTCCATGCAAAATTTTTTGCCACTTTTGATAGTTCAAGCATATCTTGTTGTGTCAAATATGAGCTTATGCTCTAAGGGTTAGGCTTAGCTATTAGAGAAGTGCAACAACAAGGGTGTATGTACATCATTCAAAAAAAAATTACAAATAACAGCCATAATCCAATGGATGTTTTTGCACACAAAGATCAGCTAAACGTGAAACTGGAGAACAGTTAACACAGATTAGAGTATGCTTTCCATTGAAAATCATATAGTTTAAAGACTATAACACAATAAGATTGCGATAAATCAAGGAATACAACAACCAGGACTAAGTCCAAGTATAAATAACACCAGAATACAAAATGACACGTATTATAACTAAAAGTCCATCAACAAAAATAATTATGAGCTGAAAAGTGCATCTCAATCTTGATTTGAAGCCCTCCCTTTCATGTGCATTCAAGAAGAAGATACCTTGACAGCCTTGAATGCAGGGTGAAGCAACCCAAGCTCATCCTTGACTTCAAGCGGATTGCGTGTCTCATTCCTCGTTCTCTTGACTCTCCGACTAGCAAGTGACTTATGAGTGAACCCATACATCTGCAGAATCTGGTTATCCCCAAAATTAAATGCCCTATCCATCTGCTTCAAGCATCTCTCCACCGGATAATCGCCAAACTTCCCACAAGGCTTGCAACCCACAAAGTGAGTCACAAGAGGCCACCGATGATCACCAAGACCTGGATGGTAACTCTCAATCATCTCCTCATACCGGTCCACCAAAATACCCCAGTACCCGTGCAAATAATAAGCATTCTCAAGATACACCTTATCACCCCACTTGTCCTTCTGACTCATCAACAAATAAACCATAGCAGACTGATCATCCGCCTCGAAAACTGGCCTACCCTTAAGCTCCCTAGTCAATATCTTCCCTGCATCGTCCCTAATCTTCCCTTTTGGCCCCATTGGTGCCCAGGCATCAAGAATGTCCAGAGACCACTGACAATTTCTAAGCAAAAAACTTCCAGTATTCAACCCAATCCAATTTTTCTGATCATACACCATCTCCTTCCACCCATGCATCACAAAATTATGGTCCTTATACCGCTCCCACGGCACCTCAAACGCCATATCAGTAAACATGGCATCACTATCCATCCACCACAGAAACTCCACCTCTGGATGCATCAACAAAAGCTTCCTAATCAATGGCAATTTGGCCCAGAACCCAGCCAGTTCCGCATCAAGCAAAGCCATATTGTAGAAAATCTCAACCCCATGTAACCTACAATAATCAATCTTATTCTTTATCGATTTCAACAAATAATGATCCCCCACCGGGTTCTCACACGGTTTTGGCGATGACCCAGTAACCAACAACACCCTAGGCTTATTGGGTCCAATAAAATTGGGAAAGTTCGGGTTGTTCTTCAACCACTCAGCTCTTTGCTCATCCCAATCAGAGATTTTGGGTCCGAGAGTGTAGGGCTTGTTTGGATCTCGCTTTTCATTGTCTGGTTCCTCATCGACCAAGATCTTCTTGATGTCGAATGTAGCGTAATTGTTCGAATCCGATGTGGAGTCTGTAGCTGCAGAAATGGTTGTTAGTCGGGCTTCTTCGAGAACTCGTCGTGGCTCCACCCGTTTACGGTAGTAGTAAAAGGTCTCTCGGATCTCGTTGATGTCTTGCTCAGGTGTACCGAATTTTCCTGCACCCAAATTTCCCCTGAGGACAATGACTGTGAGGAATAGGCAAAGCAGTGTGATCTTTCCGTTTCGGAGAATTCTCTGGATTTGTCGCACACGACGCGGTCCCAAACACCGTTCCAACATTGTGTTGAAAATCACAGAGCCGAATTTGAAAAAAAAACAGCTGATTTAGGAAGGTGATAGAGATATGGAATCGGAGGTTTTCAGGAGATGGAAAAGGAAACTAAGAAGGAAATTGAATTGAATCCCATTATAGGCAACTGAATTGGATCTTCTGGGTTTAGATCTAATGCAGAAATTATGAAAGAGTTAGGGCACGAAACTCTGAATGTCGAACATTGTATTGAATCGGAGAACTGAATTGAAAATGCTGTTCTTATGGAGATACGGAATCGAGGGTTTTCATTAGGTCGAAAAGGAAAGTAGGATTGAAATGGAAAGCCGAGAATGGAATTCCACTGAAGAAAACTAGATTGGATCTTTGGGGTTTAGATATGAAGGCAATTACTATCGAATTCACATCTTGAAATTTGGGGTTTTGCGAATCGATTTCTATAACGTCGGTGGAGAGAGAGTGAGTTATAGATTCAGAGAAGCTGAAGCACAGGACAGCAGGAGAAAGAGAGATGGGTTTGGACAAATTATATAAATTTTTTGTGTCGGTCTTTATTTTATCTAGGACTAATCTCACTTTCTACCCCGAAAAATAATTTAATTTTAATTTATACCCTTAAACATTACAAATTCTAATTTATACCCTCAATGTTACGAATTAGTAACAATGTAGACTTTGCCCAGATAATTGTTCAATTTTTCATCATAAATTAAAACATATGAGTTACAAGTGCTTCGAATATGATTAGTGTAATGTTAGTCAAGGAAAGTATTAATTGATTTATTTGACAAATCCAACGAGTTTACCTATTTATAAAATAATCTTGTTAAAGTTTAAGCTCAAACCTATTAATTTTATTTTGATTTGCGTCGAATTTACAAATTATATCTAAACTTGATTACCCACCCAAAACAAGATAAATAACATTAATAAACAAATAGGCCTACGATAATCAAAAAAAGAATACAGGTCTAGTGTTTTTTTTGACACGAACCTACTTCATCTCATACGATTAACATACTTAATATTGATTTAGTAGATTTTAGTTTGATTGATTTGGAGGTATTAGTTTTAAAAATAAAAAAAATTATATATATCAAAGAGTTTTATTATTAGAAGAAAAATAAACATCTAATACAAAATAAAATTATTTTCCAAAATTTGCGGGACCTATAAATAAACAAGCGAAAACATTAACCTTTGACTGTACAAGATATAAACATGTGGCGCACTCTACTCGGCATATACTTTACCAATGGCCTCAAGACAATCATGTTTGCATTTTTTTAATGTTAAGCAATACAATTAGCTTTCTAATTGAGATTAGCAGTTGACCTAAAGATAGGTGATTTAGATCCCTGATTCCCCTCAAACATCTCTTGCTTTTTATTCCCCTTAATGAATGTTGTGCTAGATAAATGATATACGTAAAATTTTAAATTTTAATGAATAATATTTTTTCTCGTTCATTTTATTATTGGTAGAGTTTTAACCATTATTAACGAATTTTTCCACAAAAAAAAAATTTTATTCATTAAAATTTAAAATCTTATACATATCAATCATCTAATATTGTATTAAAGAGAATTGAAGAAAAAGAGTAATAGAGGGGATCCGAATCCATGCATAGGTATGGTAATAGACCCAATTTTAGTTCAAATTTAATCTAAATCTGTTTAATTAGATATAGACAAATATTTTTATACATTTATCCAAATTTGATCTGTAATTGTCTAGATATGTTAAATTATATATGGATATGGATTAATAAAAATTCAATCTAATTAATATATATATATATATATATATATGCTTATAATTGATCTAAAAAAATTATTTATTGACATTTTAATAAAATACTTTACGGAGTAAATCAAATGTCCAATTATAAGCGAATTGAATTCAATCACTTATTTTTAATCAAACTTGATGTCAAACCTACCTAAACGTCATCGCTACTATCATTGCCACTATCACTACCTCCATTATCAAATTTTAAGATTCCAATTTCCTAATCTCGTGTATTTAATTACAAATTTTTGGCTTAACTACCCATTTAAGTGACCATGAGCTTTAGTAGACATAAGCCATAAAACTTATATATCTTTTTTGAATCTTGCATTTTTTTTTTTCATCCATTTAACTAAGTAAAATTATTTGGTCCTAGTCCAATATATTTTTTTATTTGGCACTATCAATAAACCCACATAAATTAAACATCCAATTGATTCATTATGTAGAATCAAGTAAAAAAAATCATCTAACAATGAAATTCAAGGATCTAGATAATTCGAAACTAAGAGATGCAAAACTAATTAAAAAAATTCTCACACAATTGTAGTTAAACAAGTTTATTATGTCAAAGTCTTGTCATTTATATAATACTGGTTAAACATACTTGATAAGTCAAAATAAAATAATTCATGTTTAAACACCAATTCAATGTCTTTATTGTTCGTATAGAAATAACAACAAAGTACCTTGGTAGTAGGATTTTGAGTAAGGCTTATGAATCATTTACAACGTGGTGTTATTTTCACATCGTACTCCAGTGAATATGTAAAACCCACAAATCAAAACCTTAATTCTAACACCCTATTTTCTAATATAACATAGATGGCACTTCTGTATGTGCACGTAGTGATTTTAGGATGAAAATTTTAAACATTATGAATGACCCCTTAGCCTTGTATGCATATTAATCTGCACACATGGATGGAGGATGGTCAGTTTACCTTCTGAATCATGCTCGGACAAGGTTAAACTTACTGCAAAAACTATGCTAATCTCAAAGCATAGACCAATAAATTCACATTTCAATGTAAACAAAAACATACAAAATGACTCAAAAGGAGGGGAAGGCTCACAAAACCAAATTAAGCAGAGAAAGCTGTTGTAGGCTCAAAGACAATTGATTTGATGATAGACTTGTTCACAGCAGAGCAGAAACATTAAAATCAAAATAGGATAGTCCACGATAGAGATAAATAGGCAAATGCCATCCAGAAGCACTTACTTCAGATGAGAGCTCGATCTTCTTCTAGATAAGAGGCTGATGTCCCTTTTAACTTACCAGACAATGAATAACATGCCCAACTAAGATATCAGAAAAACATGCTTTCCCTCCTCTAGGAGTTTGAGCTCTAATCAGGAGCAAATCAAAATCCATTCAGTTTTCACTTTCTTTACCATTATCCTCTCCAGGCAAATCCTGAGTTTTCTCCTCATTGCCCTCAATCTTGGGATCTTCAACCTCTTTTGCATCTCCTGAAACATCTTGCAGCTGCCAGAGTATCAAGACAGAATCAGATAAGAGTATCCCTAGCAATTTTGAAAGTGCAGAATCGTGTCAAGTTTTGAGAGCAGCCCAAGGAGAAGGCAGAAATACAAACTCTTACGATAGCTTACCCCTAAATTTCTTAAGCTTGAAGTAACATCCTCTTGTTGCTGCTGAAGAGTGGTCCTCAATTCTTGGAATTCCTAGATTTTTACAGCTCATATCTTAAGACAAGTACATATGCCAGATATCAATGTGTTGACCATTGGAGTATGACTCACCGATCGAAGTTGTTCCACTTCAACATGAAGTGATTTCTTGAGTTCTGAAAGCTCCTGCAAAAAGTAAGAAAATAGCATCAGAAATTGCATGTGAGACATTGAAACTTGCCAACCATATAAAACCGCAGAAATTGTCTACAGAAACGAAAGCAGCATGAGCTACAGAGCAAACTACTGCTTGTTTGATTATAAGACATATTCCAGGCAGAGTTTATTTTAGCCACAAATCGCAGTTCTTAAATAAAACTACAGCTTGTGGAGCAAGAACCATCACAAGGTAATGTTTATGCAAGGAATCAAAAGTTGCCCAGCTGATCAAAAAGTAACTCAAAGCACCTAGACATACTTCATCGTAAGGATTACTGAAAAAAGCACTTCAAATTCCTGAGTCAAAAAGAAAAATAGAAAACCTATATCTTGCAGAGTGCTTATTTGTAAAAGTAGCAAAAGCTGCATTTTTTCCTGAGGATATCTAATCTTAAAGTGCCATTAATCCATTCCAAGTCAAGTCACAATCCACCCAACCATATTCCAAGATCAAACTGTGTTGTTAGAAATGATCCGCTTATTAATACCTTTTTGTCTTTAACTTATGGGTGCTGCAGATTTCTGCACTTTGAATTGCCCAATCAACCAAACACCATTAACTGTATGCCTGTACAACTCCAATAATCTTCCAACACCATCTCAATCCGAAATGATGATAATAAAAATGACAAAAACGATGATGATACTTTGTCGTCTGAGCACAATTTCCACGCCAATGAATACGTTATTCACTAGATGAACATACCAATCAAATTAATTTCCACTGCCTGAATTACTACTTTCCCAATTTTGCCACTGGAGGATGCGCATTCTTAGAAAGTTCAAATAAATATGTTCAAAAACTCCTCTTGAATTACTGGCCCAAGCGAAACGCTTTTAATAAAGGGATTTGACAAAAAACATCTCTTTCAGTAAATATAAGTCAACAATGAATGCACAAGAGGGCGGCACAACAGTTACACATAGCAATAACTCAATCTGAATTCAAGTCAAAGTGTCAAACAGAGGACAATGACCACCATATGTCAATTACGCATACACCCCAGAGGAGCAGAATTCCAATAAGCCATAGCATGCTTTAAACGAAAAAAAAAACCCACGATAAGATACATCCCCATACAAAACAAACAAGATGATACTTACATCACGATAGTTTGTCACTTGAGTTTCTAATTTTGACCTCCAACCTTGCAGGTCCTAGTCACCAAAACAACATATGAAACAATAAATTTTTAATAGCTGGAACTTAATACAATATTCAAAAAATAAGGAAAATTGAATCATCAGCAAGCACACACATAGTCAGTGACAAACATTTCTATCATTAGAGTGTATTTGAGCAATCACCTGCTTCAAGTTCTGAATTCTATTCATAAGCTCCTGCCTCGACTCACTCAATTCCTAATAACATAGCATCCAGATTATTTGAACAAACAAAATTTAGGGTTTTATCAAAAAAGTTAAAAAAAGAATAAATAACTTGAGGTAAACTTAACCTAAGACCATAAACCATCGAACATACCGCAATTTTTGAGTTAATCGGCTTCACATTCTCTTTCTTCTGCAAATAATTTTATTTCACGTAATCGAAATAAAGAACATCAGCATTATCAAATTCCAAACATTTGCTCCAATCATTTAACATTAATTTCAAAACAAATTACATAAAATTCATCTAAGAAAGACATATATATATATATATATATATAGAGAGAGAGAGAGAGAGAGAGATTTACCAGAGATTGAGGAGCAGGAGCGAGGGGAAGAGCAGATGAAGTGGAATCGAAGTTTGCCATAGGGGATCGAGTTGAATTGGAGATTGATTTTCTAGTCTCTGGATGGATATGTGAGCTGAGAATTGATTAGATTAGAGTAGCCTGGGAAAGAGAAGTGAAATTCAAAATTTAGGGGTTTAGGATTGCGATGACTTTGGGCGGGCGAGACAATAAGCGGGGAAAATGACAGAAAATAAAAGTGAAAGCAAAATAAAAGAAGACGAGATCAAAAGTTCTTGATTTAAATTTTAACAATTCTTTAACATTTATTTTAGACCGTATATAAATAGTTTGTTTTTAACCATGTTAGGTAGAAGATTAAGTAAGATAAACATTCACTAGCTCGAAGACCCCTTACCATTGAAAAAAATCAAAAATTTTATTCTATTATTTAAAAGAAATGAAAGTTACAAGATTTTTTCTTAATTGTCTAAATTATATTTAATTATATTTGTTATATGTTGAATTGAAAATCTGAAATTAGAGCTTGTAGTCATCTCTTGTATTTTATTTTTTATGTATTGAAAATATAAAATTAGAACTTGTAGTCCTCTTATTTGTTTTATTTTTATTTGTTGAATTAGAATTGAGACTTATAGTCCTCCATAAGCCCTTCTATAACAAACTTTTCTTAGAAAAGAGGTTGGTGACAAAGAGAGCTTCTGACTAGTCACATATCAAGCTCTTATGATTCAACACCTATTATTACGAAATAAGTTGTTCAAGAAGATTGGTTCTTTGATGGATTAACAATCAAGTAGCTAACCTAGTTTCGTTAGTTTCAGGATGCCTCTCGTCTCGATGGCGTCTGTTTTTCCTTCTTTTGGATTAGCACATTCATGGTTAGACTAAATTATTTTGATTTAGTAGTTTGAATAATTTTATTGTAATAAGTTAAGTAATTCTTATACCTAAATTTAGTTTAATAGAATAGCCTTAGTTTAGATAGTTTTAATTGTTTATTAAATTTTAATAATGAATACTAAGTTTGTGATTGAACAAATTAATTTTTAAATTAGTTACGAATTTTTTTTTAAATCCAATATATAATTGAGCCCAATTTTTTTCAGTTCGTTTTTTTTGTTAGGACTTATAGATACACTAGTTATTTCCCATACTTGAAAGTACAGAGTAATAAAAAAAATAATTAATAATAAACATATTTGTATTCACACTCAAAATCAAATCACAAATATAGAAGAGAGAGAATAAAATTTAAACAGCGATTATAGTGAGGGTGAGTGGTGGTGGGTAGTAGCGGAGGTGGTAAGAGACGGTGATAATTGTGGTGGGTGGCGACGATCGTGGTGGTAGTGGCAGGCGTGGGTGGCAACGGTGATGTGTTGGATTTTGGGTGACGATGGTGGTAATAGTAGTCATGAGTGACGATGGTTGGCGACGATGATAGTGGTTGTTAATGGCAGTAGTGGGGGCGACAACGATGGTGATCATAGGCGACGATGGTGGGCGATGATGAATGATGGTGGGTCATTTTAGTGAGTGGTGGTGGGTGCTAAAAATGAGCGACGTGGCGGTGGAATGATGGTGATAGTTATAATAAATATAAGAATGAGATAATGATGATAATAACAATTGGTGGTGGGGGGCAGCAGGGTGATAGTGGGGGCAGTGACGGTGGTGGGGGGTGGCAACGATGGTGAGGTGTGCATCAGTGGCGATAGCAGTGGCAGCGATAGTGATGGTAGTGGTAGTGGTCGTAGGGGTGAGGGGTGGTAGAGGTGATGATAGGACAGTGGCGACAGTGGTAGGTTAATGGCAGCAATAATTGTGGTTGTGGTGGTGGTGGGGGTGACAGTGGTAGTGATGGGGCGGTGGAGGTAGTGGTGATGGTGGTAGGGTGACAACAACAATGGTGGTGGTGGTGGGGGTAAGGTGGTGATGACAAAGGGGGCTAGGTTGTGATGGTGATAGAGGTTGGGTGGTGGCAACGGTGGTAATGGTGGTGGGACGGTGGGGTTAGAGGTAGTGATGTGCCGACATATGGTAGTGGTGGTGGAGGTGGTGGTTGTGATGGTGATGGTGGTGGGGGTGGTGATGGTGGTTGTGGTGGTGGTGGGATGGTTCCAAATATTATTTTTTTTAAAAGTAATTATGTGAAATTATAAATTTTAGAGACATTTTTAAAAAGTCATCCTAAACACACATTTAAAGACTTATTTTTTCTATTAAATTTGGGGTGTTAATATTAACATTCGAATTAATTTTGAAGTAAAATTTAAATAAATTTTAACAGTGAAAAATAAAAATTATTTTGTTTATCTTTTGATATTTAAATTATATTGTATTTTATTATATATATTTATAATGAGTTTTTGTTTTTTGGCTCCTTTTGTATATCACTAGTACATATGAGTTGCACTTTTAATGGGTGTTCTATTAATGAACTATACTTTTGTGAATATTTGAAATTTTAATATTATTATGGCTTAGATTACTTCCACGGAGAAAATGTTTGACTCCGCCTCTAGTTAAATGAGAATTTAGATTATATATCACAACTTTATTTCTTTTCATTGTGTTTTTTGCAAGAAAAAAATTTGTTAGTTATGAGCAAATCTAAATAAAAAAGAAAAATCATTTTTCATTTCATGTTAATCAAACACATAAAAATTTTAAATTTTTATCTTTTCTGTATTTTTTATCATTATTCTGTTAAACAAACGGACCCATTGTGTCATCGTTAAATATTAAATAAATAAGTGAATAAATGTGAATCTTATTTCTTTAAATGCGGTAATTACCATTTAACATGAAAGAGTAGTTACTTAAAGAAGTAGAGTTCACTTTATTCATTTGTTTGTATATTATTGAGCAGTGTCATCATATGATAATAAAAACGTGATCTAATCGTTATAATAAGTATTCCCCCCCCCCCCCCTCCTTCCCTCCCACTAGATGTTTGGGCTGGTAAACTGGACCAATCCATTGGACCAAAGTTTTAACTTTTGGCCCGGCCCGACTTAACCCATAAACAGTCCTACCATATGCTAAAAAGTCTAGGGTGTCACCAATATACTGATCATTACAATTTTGTTTGTTTTACCACGCATCTACTCTAATGTATTCATCATTCGAATACTCAAATTTTTAGCATAAAGTATTAATTTTGTAATGATTGTCTTGTCTGATCAAACTTATACTTTAAACCAATTGATGTACACCAATCACACAAATATCTTAGGTACAGTGGATCCACCACCCAACACTTGCAAGCCCTGTTAGACCTCTAAAGCTCACCACTAAACAAAACCTTGCCACCTAACACTGCGAGATTTCACCACCAACACCATTGATGTGAATCCCTCTTACAACCATGTATCTCTAACCCAACACCTCCACACACCAGCATAGAGAGAGAGAGAGAGAGAGAGAACCAAAATTACCTACGGACACTACCAACCCACCTATGAAATGCTTGCACAACCCATTTGTGAAAATCTCAACCACCCAACACTGCCACACCATTACCATCTCTCTACCATCTTCTTCTCAGCACTACAACCTCTCCCTCTACATATACACAACCGTAAAAAACATTAAATGTCATACACTAGAAAAGGTTTCAGTCCATGTAATAAAACCACTTTGTTAGGGAGTTCGGATGAAATTTACCCTTAAAAAAAAAGTAACTTTTCATTATTTAAAAGCTAAAAAAAAAAGAAACAAAGAAACAAAGTAATTGTAGCTTTAATTATTACATATTATCTATAATTACTTTTCATATAATTAATTTTTTTAATTAATTATTATCATAAAAAAACCGACAAAATTGAAACTTACGATGGCCCACCCGCACCTCCACCCTCTGATTCCTGCGGCCATGCCTTTCTTCTTTCCGTCAAACAACTTGAGTCAACATTTACAAGAAACAAAAATATTCTTTCTTTCTCCAAGTCCTTTTTTTTTATTCCTCCACGTCAACACGACGTCGTTTCAAAACATCTCTCCGTCACCTCTACCCATTCAATCACTCTCCTTGACAGTATCAAAACCGAAAAATCAGCTACAGACACCTTAGCCGCAAAGCACAAATACCAAACACCACTCCTACAAAATATGCCAACCTCTCTCTCTCTCTCCCTCCCCCTCCCTCCTGATCGACCCTCTCTCTCTCTAACTTGGAACCTGACTCAGTGACCGAGTGGCACGGAATGGGTCAGGAATCGTTCATATACAGCTTCGTGGCACGGGGCACAGTGATACTTGCGGAGTACACAGAGTTCACTGGGAACTTTCCGGCCATCGCGACTCAGTGCCTCCAGAGACTTCCCTCATCGAACAACAAGTTCACCTATAACTGTGATCACCACACTTTTAACTTCTTAGTCGAGGATGGTTATGGTAAATATCCCATTTTCACTTCTCGATCTCTGTATTTTCTGTTAATTTTCTCGGGAAACAAACAGAGTTTTAGTTGAATTATTAGAAAGGGTAGCTGGATCTGCACTACTTAGCAAAAAGTTGGAGAAATTACTAACTTTGGGTGCTAAAACCCTAAGACACGAAGAGGGTTTTTGTTTTTTTTTTTTTTCCTGTTCTGTTCTGTTTTATGGTTTCCTATTTTGTTTGCTGAGAAAGCTGGTGAGAAATTGAAAGAAGAAAATTTTCTTTTTAAGATGTTCTTCTGAAGTAGTAACGTAATAGGCTCTATTGCGAGTGAACCTTTTGTGAATTTGTTGGAACTAACAGAACTTTGGTGTTTGAAAGTTTTAAGTTTCTGGGTTTTTATGGCGATGGTGAAATATTGTTGAGTATCCTTTGAAACTTCAGCTATGATTTTGTATATGTATCGGCAGGCAGTATAGGTGTTCAAAGCAGAGTGATTAATGATTGATTTGGTGAAGGAGAGATACTATCAGAGAGAAGCACTTTATTATTTTTCACTGTGATTTGTAATTGAGCTCATGCTGCATTTGAGATTACCAAGATTTGCGGCTTGGAATTGGAATTGTTGACCACATGAGTTTACATTCTGGTTTAGTTTTCATCCAATTCCTGAAGTAAAATGAATTTCATGCTTCCTAACAAAATCACCACTTAAAATTTTGTATTCCTTACTACAACTCAATCTTATGCTTTCAATTCCAATGGGAATGGGCCTTAGACTTTTTATCATGTTACGTGTTAATAAGCTTGAGCAGTGAGTCATAATAGTAGCAACAAAGAGAGATATTCTATTGATAATACAGAGCATTGGATTTAACTACTTTTATATACTCATAATGGGTAGGAATGTAGGATATTCTTAGTTAGTGATGCAAATTTTTTTATATAGCAATTAGATATATCCATAGATATAGTAAATTCAATTTGAAACAACTTCAGTTAATTTAATTTTACTGGTCATACCTAGTATACCGCTATAGAAAATTGATTTTCTGTTATGGATTCACAAAGGGATATTGGCAGGCTGATAGGCCACGACTTTGCTGCTATAAGTTTCAGGAAGCCACATTGAATGGCCGCTCTGGCAGCATGCAGTGTAGCTCTCGAGTTAACTTTGTGAATTGTATGGTTTTAGAAATTGCAATATTCGTTGTAGTTTTAGGATATACACAAAGTCATACACATACAAAAGTGATTTTATGAGCAATTGAGCATAGTCTTATTAATGTTCATGCAACAAGGAAAGTAAAATTGCAACCTTTTACTCTCTACTTCCATTAAATATTCCCACTCCTAATCCCTTCTTGCTAGTTCTTCCCATTAAACATGGCAATACCAAAACACATTTAAGTTATAAATGTTGTAATGTTTTGTTTCAACCCTTTTGATGTATTGCTTGTTGAATCATGCAGCTTATTGTGTTGTTGCCAAAGATTCTGTTGGAAAGCAGATTTCTATTGCATTTTTGGAACGTATGAAAGCAGATTTCAAGAAAAGATATGGTGGCGGTAAAGCAGATACAGCTGTTGCCAAAAGTCTCAATAAGGAGTTTGGGTATGTTGAGCCAAGAAAAGGTTGATTACACTTTGCCTCTCCAACTATGGATCTAGTGTCGCTTTGCTCTCTCTATGCCATCAATTCGAATATTTAACCCTTCAACTATCCCAAAGCAATTTCCACCTTTGCTCTTGTTTGCGATTGACCGATGCCAAGATTTCAATTGAGTTTGGGCCAGTATGATACCAATTCAAGCAGTTGAAGGGGTTGAATGGGCAAATTGATGGACAATTTACACTAGATCCATAGTTTTGAGGGGGCCTAGTGTAATTGAACCGCCACGATGCAACTAATGAATGATTTGCTAAAATTTTTTGTGCATTTGATAGTTAATCGGTTATAGAAATATACAATTCACAAATATGTCCAACTCTACAGGCCACTTATGAAAGAGCACATGCAGTATATAATAGACCATGCTGACGAGATTGAGAAGCTTTTGAAAGTGAAGGCCCAAGTTTCAGAAGTTAAAAGTATCATGTTGGAGAATATAGACAAGGTATGTCAAACATAGTGAAGTATATAAAAACAACTTAAGCTCTTAGAGTAGGTGATTGTGCTAACATGATATCCGAGTAGGAAGTCTTGTGTACAAACCTTATCGGCACTTTGATTATATATAAAAAATATTGTAGATGCATGACCCAAAATCTAGACCCAAGTGAGGGAGCATGTTGAAATATACAAGTACTTACGTATTCTTGAACAATTTGAATTTTTAGAATAGATGGTGGTTTGACCAAACGCACTAGGGAAACCTTAATAATTTTGGAGTGATATTTTTTTTTGTTTGCTCTTGGAAGTGGGGAGTCTTATGTGTTCATGCATTTGAAACTATAACTTTTATGTGTGATTGAATTAGCCTCGGCCCCCATTGTGCAATTCGAGTCACAAAAAGGGTCTCTCTGCATGGGGACCAAATATTTGTGTGTGTGAGTGTCAAGGACAAAGTTGTTGTAATTAAAGGTGCAAAATGTAACCATGGCTATTGTCATGGTTTTAATGTTAGATGTTGGGGGTTGGCTACGTCCATCTTCATTCATCATTCTGGTTTCTTTTGGGCATACTTTGTGTGAAAACTTGTGCTGAACCCCTTTTTGTTTGAATCTCTTCATCAGTAACATCCACCAGATTTTTTCCCTGGTTAGTATCTGGAATAATTTAATTGAGACTAGAAAGCATAATTTTCTGTGTTTTCGGTTGCTTTACTAAGTTAGTCCAAAGTCCAATTCCTTAGGAAGACACTGAAGGAAATCCTCCACCGTTGCTGTTGAGTTATTGATAGTCAAGTCTTTCAATGCCCCTTTGGAGTGCAATCTAACATTGCCTAGGTTGTGCAAGTGAAAGGCGAAGAGCAGCCATTTCGTATACTGTGATGAGGTCAAGTTGAAGCCTTTCCAGGCCCTTTTTTAAATGCAAAATGATTGTTAAATACTTAAATTAAACACCAGTTTTCTAAAGCTCTTAAGATTTGCCAAAAGTACTATGAGACTTATCTGTGAATTTAACTTGTTAAAAGAATTACCTATTCAAGGATCTCTGTTGTCCTACCAAATGACACACCACCCCTGGTTGAGAAGTAGCCCATATTCATCTAATGGCAACAAAACTTAACTGTTATGGCCAACAGTTGTCTATTTGGAGCTTTGTTTTATCATTAAATGCATCTATGGAGCCCTCTTGCATCACGAATGAGTCATAATTAGCGACAGCTGAAACAATGAAGTTTCATTATGTTTATTTGATCCTGTATGTACCTTTCAGGCTATTGAGAGAGGGGAAAACCTAACTATTCTTAACAACAAGGCTGAAGATCTGCGTGATTCGGTAGGTTGATACACATTGTTTATCTCTTAGTTCCATACATAGCATGTATTAAACATCTATTATTGCTGTGTTCAGGCCCAAGAATTCAAGAAAAAAGGGACGCATATCCGACGGAAGATGTGGTATCAGAATATGAAAATAAAGTTGGTTGTTCTAGGAATCCTTCTGCTTCTCGTTCTCATTATTTGGGTTTCAATTTGCCATGGGTTTGATTGCACCAACTAGCATGTCTTCAGCACACAAGTGGATCAACTTCAGTTCAATTGTGTATACACCGAAGCCTCCATTGAAGAGCTTGAGTTCCGCAGAGGGGTCACTGCACTCTTTCTGCAAGTTTGTTTTTGAAAATCTCCAAGCAGTTACTAAGGTACAAAGTACTGGAAAGGATGTCTTCTTTGTCTGGATTGTCGTTTTTGTTTTCTGGGGGGATTTGTAGTTGTTTGTGCTAGGTCGCATCAACTGATATGAACTTGTTTTTTTTCTATAAATTTACAATATAGTAATAAACAAGGTTTTGGTGCAGTGTTTACTTTACTCATCCTGATAGCCCAAGTTTCTAATTTGCATCTCAGTGGACTCCTGAAATTGTTCTATGCTTCAACTAGAGGTGCCACCTTCACTGAGTTGTCGCATTTTACTTTTTTTTGTTTTTTGATTCTGTCCCATGCTCTGTTAAGCCTGTATTGATTTAGTCCCATTGCTCTGTTAAGCCTGTATTGATTCAGTCTCATTGCCCAAGTCTGTATTGGAAAATCAGAGTGAAGTCATGGAGAAAGAAGAGAAGAAAAGATTTCTTGTGTACTGCTCTATCATGCATCGAAAGGTTTTTTGTGCTGTACACCTCATTGCGAAAGACCAACCTCTGCTATACACCACGTTGAGAAAGTACTCTTTTAAGATCTCGGGTTCTTATTATTTGTACATTTTAAGGCCACAGATTCACTAATTGGTGCAATAGTTTGTGTGCTAAACAGAAATTTGAACATGGTTTGTTCCTCTAAGAGATGGCTGAATCTGTAAGGGAGGATTTCGGATTATAGTAAAGGCATTAGCAATATGTTGTCTTAGTGGCTCAGAGGTGGCAATCAGTACAATATTCTCGACTCACATGGTATTAGCCACAATGATTTTTTTTTTGGGATGAGAGGGGGAAGAGAGACTTGAACCCTTAGCCTCAAGAAGACAAAGTCTTCACAAGGCAAAGAATACTATTGAACCAAAAATTCATTGGTACAATGAGTTTATGCACAAGGAGAGAGTGTTTTCATAACTCGAATTACTAATGCTTAGGTTACAATCCAATAGTTTTACACTTGCACCAAAAACCCGTTATCCTCTCTAAAAAGCTAACGAAAACAATTATGAAAATTTCACATAACATAATTATAACTTCTAATCTCCTACTTATTTATACAATGTGTATATTTGCGAAGGACCATGTGATGCACAATATTTACGATTCGGCTCAATCCTTCTACAATTTTTCACTCATCACTTAGAGATATTGGATAGGGAATTATAGAAAGTCATAGGGTGATATGAATAAATCTTTTTGAAAAACATGTAAAATAGTAGTAGTTAATTAGCGGAATGAAGATGTAAACTACATGGGTCATGTGACAAATATATGATTGGATCAAACTTATGATCCGTTTGGTATGAAGAACAGAAAGAAGGAAGAAAAGAAAAATGAAAAGGAATAAGTTTTTCATCCATGAAGGAAAGAAAATTATTTTTCCTCCGTTTTGTTTGGTAGGAGGGATGAAAAATAAAAAGGTTATATTTTTTATCGTTTGGTATTAAATGAAAAATGAAAAGAAAGGAAAAACATATCTGCCCACATAATTTTACTCTTAAATATATTAAGTGAATTTTTTATTACAAATCAATCCAATTAATTTGAAAAAGCTTTTAATCCCCTTATTTTTGTTACAAATTAATTTTGGTGGAATTAATTTTGCTTTGAATGATTTGTAACTATTAATTAAAAAATGACAAAATGACATTAATTAAAAATAAGAATATAAAAAGAATTTACACATTGGTATATTTTCCTGGATAAAATAATGAAGACACAAAACTAAAAATAATATTTAAATACTATAATCATAACATTAAAAAGGAGGACTTCATTTATCTTCGAGTGGCTGACATCCTCAAAAGTAAAATAGGCATGGAATATTGTGCACAATAAGAATGGGCAAGAGGGCACAATAGTAATTTAGTTTAAACTTTAATCAATATTCCCTTCTTCTCTTCCACTTTCCGCCCAAAAACCGGAAGGAAAAAAAAATGGCAGACAGTAGATTAAGCTTCCTTTCCATTTTTCAGTCCACTGTGTTTTCCTTCTATACCAAACAAGTGAAAACCTTTCCTTTCCTTCCATTTTTCCTCTTCTATTTTCCATCCACCTTTCTTTCCATTGTACCGAACACAGGGTTAGTGTTGTAATTAAAAAAAATAAAATTCTAAGAAAAAAAGAAATGAAGAGTGAAAGCTTCTAAAGCCCCCTCTTTCCTAATCTGTTTGTAATAATATATGATAAAAAAAATAATAAAAATAACATATGATATATGTATATTCTCAGTAAATTTTCATCACATACTAATTAAAGTCGACTTTCTAGAAAACAAGTTATCCAAAAAAAAATGTCCTTTGCTCCACACACTAAGGGCCTGTTTGTTTATCGGGTACGGGCGGGGGTTTAAAAAAAATAGTTTGATAGATCACTTAATTCTCTGTTTAGTTAAAACTTTTAAACTCAGGATTCATATCTCGACTTGCAAGAAATAGTGCATTAAAAGCCAAGTATAAGGGTTTGATGAAACCCTTTTTTTTGGGGGGGGAGGGGTTCGACAAAAAGATTATTTTACCCAAAAATTATTCTTCTATTCACCTAAGAATAAACATTTTAGTAAATTGAGTAATATAATTTGACATGAATCTATAAACTCTACATATATTTATGTCTCTTACCAAACATGAAATTGGATTGTGTTTATGATTAAATCCCATGTAGAAGGTTGGGTTTAAAAGAGTTTCCTAAAACGAATCTAATCCCTCTCATGTGGATCATCCAAACATGCCCTAGGCTCATAAAACTTTTCGATTAATTTTCAAGGGTTTTATATCGAATCGGGTGCGAATCAGACTAGAATACAAGACACCCCACATCATTGTCTTCCAATTCCACAAGAATTTTTTTTTTAATTTATGAAGCACATGGCATGGTTTTCTCTGCAAGCAAAGAGAGGAAGGAGGAGGACCCAATGGTGATTAGTTTATCACCTTTGAAGCAACACAAAGTCATTGTTTGCCAAACTCACTTATTAAACCTTTTTTGATCATCTTTTTCTCTCCCATGGCGCCGACTTTGACGTCGGCAAACGACTCTTTAAGTCTCATGTGGCCATGAAATTACGGAGGGAGCGCCGGAAGAGCCATTATAGCAGAAGAACATCAACCATTCACATGTATAGTTTGATACTTAATAGTATTATTGTTCAAGGGCATTGCTAATTTATTGACCTAATTTGTTGATGTAATCATTCATAACCGTTAGATTTTCAATGGGTTCTAATAAATATTGAGACCGACTATTAATCTAATGTTTGTGATTGATTAAATTAATAAATTATATTATAAATTAGGTACAAATGATATTATTATTTACGCATATGAAAATTGAGAATCTAAATTCATTGCACCTAAAGAAATTCCAACTCATTTTGAGAATTATAGAACAAAGTAATGGAAAAGGTGTGCTAAGGGTAATTAAACTATTGTGTGTGTTTTTACTATGCTTTCCTTTTTCATTGCATCCATAATCATTAACACCCATAAAGTGTTTTTGGATGTTGGGTTTGTTTTCTTGGGTGGTAATATAATAAACCCTTGTAGCATCTATGTCAAAAAGGTGTTAACTTGTTATGATGTAGTTTATCGGTAACTTTAAGGGGTAGTTCAAATAATAATAGGTACAAGATGTAAATTCAAACATCTTGAATTTAAATTTTGGTAATTTTTTGGGGGTATTCATGAGAGATTTTATCCTTCATGAATACCCTAATCTCTGTGTGTATAGTTTGCTTTTAACTTGACTGAGAAGAAGATTAGTTAAGATACTGTTTAAGTTAGTCTAAATACTCCTGACCGTTAAACTAAAAAAATAATTTCTTTGGTTAATAACTCTATATCTTAGGTAGGAGGGAGGGAGGGAGGGAGAGAGAGAGATTTTAAAAACTATTTGCCCAAAAAGAATCTCCCTTTGTTGGAGAACCTAAAAACTTATGTAGGCATGCATGCAAATAGAAAAAGGGAATGTTCCATTATTTCAGGTTGCCCTAATGATAGTGAGTGCTATCAAGGATATAGAAGAGACCAATAGAGATAAACTAATAAAAGGGAATATGTCTTGTTTGTGCTTGTTCAATATGTTTCTCCCTTTAGCATAATGATTCTGCTCAATATGTTTCTCTCTTTGGCATAATGATATATAATGAAAATTGAATGTTTAACCGGTAAAATTTAATCAACACACGACTGAAGAATTAACGTTACAAATTCGAATTAAGTTTTATGTTGATTGTCAATTGATGGGTTTGATACTCGATATCTAATATATTTGATATTGGCTTCACATAGTTGCAGATACTCATCTTGTATTAATAGGTTCTCCAAGAATCTTCTCCTAATACACTAATTCTTTTACGAACTATGAATCCATCAATTACCGCCTTTCTTCTTTATTGTTTCCGACTAGTCATTCTTCTACTCACTTTTGAGCAAAGAATAACTTGAATCGAGGTATGATTAGCTTTAGAATTGTCTTAGTCACGAGCACTTTAAATTGGGGTTACTACGCTAAACTTTGAGCCTACATAAATACTGACGCACATCAAGTGAATTCGGACTATTTCGCAAGAGTCGAATTTGAAATATCAAAATATCAATCCACTAATCCATAAATTTTCTCATTCAGCTCGGACAATTGACTGTAGAGTTATATTTCTTTTAAGTGTTTATGTGGAGGGAGCTTCATTTATGAGAAACAATGAAAATATACCACAAGTTTGAATGATTGGATTTTAATTATATCAATTTCTTATGGAAATTTTGTATTTGTAATTTCATCCTCATGAAAGATATTTCAATAACATGGAAATCAATTCATTTATCCGGTTATAGAATTATTATGATCACGATCGTGTCATGTTTTTACATACATGATGTAAGCGTATTGTACCGTAACTTATTCAAGTTAAGTTATAACCATTGTTTATCATCGATAACTATTGGGTACATGCAATATATATATATATACTGATGAACCAATTCATTCATAACTGGGAGTCGTTAATTAGGGTTAAATTCTTAAATTCACATGTACTAATTTTGCATTAATATGATGGGAAACTCAACAAGATTTATCATTTTTCCTACAGCTAAGTGTACCAACTACCAACAGCATGGCATGACAAGACAGAACCTCCAGCCATCAAAATCAAACTCAGGAGAAGACAAATCAGTATCTCTCTTGCCCCATCATTTCTGGATAGAATGGGCAGACAGGATCTTCTCTTCTCCATCACCCTATTATGAGTTCATCCATTTCTACTCTTTGAATGACCTTGACCAACTCTGTGTGTGTGTGTGAGAGAGAGAGAGAGAGAGAGGTCACAGTAGCCCATTCTATGAGGGAATGGGGCTGCACTGGCAGGAACAGGAAAGAAAGTCTCTATCTAGCTTGTTTTTTTCATGGATTGAGCTAGCATTTGGACATGTTTTGATAAGCTCCTTATCCATATAAGATCATTGCCAGTGTTTGGGTTCAGTTAAAGCTCATGGTTTGAAGCACATGTTGTTCGGATTCTTGGGCAAGAACATTTAGGGTTTGTCAGTTGGATGGTGTTTCATAGCAAATGAGAAGTTATTAAAAAGTGAAAAAATTAAAGTCAGATGTCAGATTTTGTTTGCATGTTATTTACATTAAAATTATTAAACAAACTTCTAAACACAATTCGTAAACTT